GGAAAGAATATTCGAAGAAGAAGAAGAATTGGCGATCGCTGATGACGCTGAAACCTTTGCACGAATATTCGCTTCCGGTCGATAAAGCGAACAGCAAGTTGAACAGGAACTGAAAATCGACGATTGCCATACGGCAAGGGAAAAAGAGGAAAGTTTGGTGTCGAGATGAACGGCAAGTCGGATAGGAACGATCGCAAGTAGTGTTATTGAAAATTCACGATAAACGGTTAATTCCTAACGATATCAAGAACAACTCGCTGCGACGAAAACTGATTAATCAGGTGCTAGGATAAAGATAAAGCTATAAGAAGCAAGCGTGATCGATCGTCGTAACGATCGCGAGGAATCACGACTTCCTAACTGTATAGAAAATGTGTAAGAAACATAACGGCGTTACCGTGCTGACGACGTTACCGCGACGGTAATGACGAACAAAGACAAGACGAAAAATAACGTTAAAGTGCGGCAGGAGTCGGTGAAATCAACGTATCGTTACCGACAAACACCCAGTCACGGTGAAAATAGGCTGCGAACGAAAGAACAGCGTCTCAATGTCCTGTAACATTAGCGAGGGTTCTCGCGGGAGAAATCGTTCTTTCGTCGAATGACTCGCGCTACTAATAACTGTAAAGTACCAACGAAGTCGTTCGAACGTATCGATCACCTTTCCTTTGACAAAATTCCTCGTTGCCGTCCGATGCAGTATTATCTGAATATAATATGTATTATCAGCGAGTCAGTCGCGTTAACTCGATTAAAATAGCCATGTTCACATGCATCGTCAGGAAGCAAGCAATCGGTGTGGTTGAAGTGTTGTTTCACGGTCTTGTTGCAAACCACGGTTTATTAACACGAATTAACGCGACCTGTCAGGGTTAATCGTCCGGGAAAAGTTGTTTTCTATGAAGCGAGTTTCCCAAGGAATTAAAAAGAGAAACTCGACGCTCAGAGAAACTGTGAAAAAGTGTGGTATTAAGAAAAACGCGTGTTCGTTGAACTCGAAAGGAGACTGGAAAAAATGCGTCTGGATTTTGAATCCCCCAAGAGGAACAAATCAAAGAAGGCATAGCGACGGGGTGGAATTCTTTCCCTGTGCTTGAATTCGTGAATCGGAAACATCTGCTGTTGTTTCTCACGCGACACCGTTCGCATGACCAGAAGAAAAATGTGCGTGAAACCGATGGAGGAGAATGAGGAGGACAAAGTTGTCAACATGATCATCAATTACTTCACTGCCAGGGTAAATATGTGTAGCAGGCCGAACGATCGCTTTATATAAACGACGAGAGCGGCTTTGGTATGTCTGTCTTGCGTTCGTAGAAAAGTCTGAGAATCTGGTCTTTTCCTTTTCTTTCTTTTCTTCGTTCAACCATGTAATCCAGACTTCATATCCATCCGTTATGTTCTTCCATATTTCCGAATGAGACGCGTTTAAACGAACACACGTTAATGCTGAAATTCAGATTATACAGGAAATTTAGCGAATAAATGCGTTCAAACTTAGTAGTATCAATGCGTGTATTCAAAATGAATATTCGAGCAAGCCTGTTTCGCAATACATTCTCGAACGAAGTATTTCTTTCGCGTTCGTCCGGTTATCATTTTCCAGCAAAACTTTTGGCAAACTTACGGACTACCGATCCGATGCATCCGGAAAAACTCGCGTAACTGTGCACACTTCCCGAAACGCGCGAAACATTTGGAATCCTTCCGAGTTCCGCTGGCATCCGGCCAGCTTGTCTTTATCCGATGACCCGAAAGAAGCGCGTTTGAACCACGCTCAAAAGTCGAGGAAAGTGGAACAGAGGATTTAACGTTTCGAGAAGTTTCAGCGATCTCGTTGAAAAATCTGTAACGAACGAGAACCACGCGAAAATACCTTTGTTTCGTAGATGAATTTCTAGCTTCTGGAAAAGTTAGCCTTTCGTTTCGGAAAATTAAATCCACGTCGAAGGAAGTGTAACGAAACAATTAACGTTTGTACCATTAAATAAAAATTTAATATGTCATCTTAAAATTCATTCAAATTTACGATACGCGAATAATTGCAAATTAATTCTTATTCCCCATATTTTATATACATTGGTCTTTTGAAATGTCTAAATATCCGATATGCCAAATTAACTACAATAAAATACGTCTTTCTCTCTATTTCAACTTTCTATCAAAGTACGTTACCCGTTTACGTAATACATAAACTTTTCTTCTTATTTCTACTAGGACATTAACGTTAGTCTTCGATCGTTTCGTTTCTCGATATAACACCGTAGCTTTTCCAATTTACTCAACGATAACCAAACAATATACATATTTAATTAAATGCCAGATTAATAATTCCTCCGTCACGAGTTAGAAGCGATTTTTGAACCCGAGGATCTGTTCGTACACATCGTTGATCCGGATGTACGGGCCAAAGACTGCCAGTATCAAACTCGGTGTGGGATACCTTTCACTCGAGCAATGTCACGAAAGATTCTCGATATCGCTGGAGAAGTCAGTCGATGATTTTCACTCGTGGCGCGGACAACTTTTGCTGTCGGAACGATTTATTCGTTCGTTTACAGTGCATAGTGAGTCGTAAACGTCATCTTGTTCGCGAATGGAACTACGATCGTGATTAAATAAATGTAAGCTGTCGTTCTAACGTTGTAATAAGTTAACGTTCTATAAATGTTACACACTTCGCCATGGAAGATAATCGTGGAAGATAGAAACAGTTAAATTTATTGGTGCAACGAAAGGTGCATCGGTCGAATAAATTCGGGATTTTTGCTTACAAACGCGTGAAACACGTGAAATTGTTACCGTGTACATAGTCATTTTGTATGAACGTTCCTTTCGTGGAAAATATCGATGAATTTCGTACTATGAGAACCTAATTTTGTTTAATTACGTCGTAGTTTTGCGAATATAACATCCAGTTTCCGGTACAATTTATCAATAACAATAAAACTGTCAATTTTCCGAATAAACGGATTTACAAGTGAATTAAGCAATAACAGGCTGAGAGTATTACCATATTTGTAAGACGGCTATTTCGATGCAAATTTTTCTCTCCATTCCTCTTGCCGAGTCGTGCAAGTTTTCTTTCTTTCGTAGATTTTGTTTCACGTTAGCACGAAAGAACTTTGAAATCGATTTGCACCGACTCGCACCTAACGTGACCGACTTCGACCAACTCTTATTTCTTCAAACGCTCTAAAAGCATTTAATATTTGGATTCGAAAGAAGAAATCGTTGATTTGTCTGGTCAAAGTATTTTCAAACGACGATGATATAAAGCGTTAAAAAGTCTGGAAGTTTATGTATATTAAAAGCCAGGCAAATATCAAAATAGAATAACAGAGTAATTGACAATTTATAATAATTAAAATATTTATGACATTTCGACGAATATATCGTAACGTTTGTAAGGGTATTATATCGACTTATTTATGACTTAATTGACAGTTAAATTTAAAACTGAATATCGAATATCATTGAAATAAAGGTGTATATATACATATATAAGTATATATATGCACTATGGTTTCCCGGCATTCCCAAACTCTAATACGACGTCATAAACTAAAAAAAAAAGTTTTGAACAGCTGTGTGCCACATTTATCCGAGGCCTCTAATTATTCTTTGTTTGCCTTGCGTTAACTTCAAAGAGTCGCGGAACATTTCTCAGGAGGGCAAAGAATATTTTCCATAGTCGTTAACACATGGCGCATGTCTGCGATAAAATACATACAGTTTCACTTAGTGTGTTTAGTACGTTGACGCCGAGAAGTCAATTCGAATGTGCAAGGTCCGTCGACGAAACTGTCGCAGAATCAAATTTTTTAACGGGGAAATTTGAAGCAAATTAACATGAAATCAAAATTGAAAAAAATGTAGGTCGTGTTTATTTAATGCGAAAATTCGTACTGTACGATGTTAGAAGCGTATTGATCGAAAGTACGTCGTATTGAACGTATCGTACAATTTACTACTAATATTATGTATACTTGTGTTAACATAGCATACTCTCATTTAATAATTTCATTTAATAATTAATATTAATAATTAATATTAATAATTAATATTCTCATTTGTCCTCGTCGATTTGAAATTCCAAATTTCATATTACCTGTATTATTAACCTATATTTACGTTGCATATTTAAAATCTTAAAAATCGTTGTTCGTTTCGACGACGAGACTTAGAAAAGATGCTTCTGTGTTGAATGGTAGTTTCCTTTTGTAGTTGATGTTTTATAGATTGAAAACGTGTAGCAATTTCCAACTTACAGATATCCTACATGCGACTTTTGCAGATTATCGGAATACTTTTGTTTAGACCTTCGAAGAAGACGCGTTTAAACGGCGAGGAGGAGAAGAAAGCGTCGAGCAGTTATATCATACATCGGAATTAGAGTCACGTTACACACGGCGTTGCAACACCACCGATCGATTCATCTTCGTGTAATTAATTTAATGCGGAGAATGTTTGCGCGTCGCGGTCGACAGGAAAGTTGTTTGGAAGGAATCGCGCAACGTGGACCGATCGTTGATCGCTATTTAACGACGAACTGTGCGAAATTGATTCGATATGACGATTCCAAGAAGCTGAGTTATTAAAGTAAAACAGTAACGGCGTGGTGAAGGGACTTTATAGAGTTCAAACGTGAACGATACATATAGATACCGTGTTCTAGTGACAGAAAATATGAAACTCGAAAAGCAGATGACTCAAAAATGTTGCGTAACTGTAGCAAGCGAATTCATTTGTATCGGAAAAAGAATTAAAAGCGTTGGAAGATAAAAGATAAATATAAAAGATATTCGTACGAACGTGTCTAGCACTGAATTAATTAGTAATTTAGATACGTTCGTATTTCTCAGTTGCCTATTTATCGTGTGTATCGTATCAGAGTGGAGTTTACGCGATCGAATCGATGGCCCCCGTATTCCTCGACCGCTTCCATTTACCTGAGCGACACGCGTTCACCTCCCTCTCTGTTTGTCTGTTCACAGAACTTCTTCTCCAAGAGGTCGTTCCGCTCGAATCCGCTGAAGAGGACGAAAAGCGTGACAAAGCTCGAGCGACAGAAGCAACGCGGTGCCGGACTTCGGGGTTGCCGTTCACACGAGTCCCTGCTCTGCGGACAGGCGGTGACCTCGATGGACCTCGCGGCCGTGACACCGCTGCATCCAAGCCTGCTTGGCAGACCTCACTGCTTCCAGGTCACACCCAGCACCGGTGGGCCGAAATATTTCAGTTGCAGGACCGCTCACGAACGGGACCAGTGGTTACACAGGTTGGTACCGTTTCTCTGCCGCTTCTTCTTTTTCTTCTTCTTTCCACGCTGCTTCCTCCCCAACCTTCTCCTTCTCTTTTATCTTCTTTCCTCACCCGGGGGAGGAGAAACTGTTACGCCATGCTGATCGATCCAAACCAGCTTTGACCGTCAAATAATCACTCGTTACGCGAACGACACGTCGCCATTTTTTATGGTGCAGCTAGCTACGGTGGGTTTCGTCGAAGTAATCGTATACCGTTGAAAAACACGTTCGAGGTGTATTTCGTAAAATTACGATTTTGCGCGAAAAATTGTATTTTTTCATATCGTCTGTCTTTTAAACTTAAACACGTATTTAAGATATTAGGTTGTAAATATTTGTGTTGGCAATTACCCTTGTTGGATATCTTCAATTTCAACAGGCAGAGATAATTAGCACGATTAATCATCGTACGTTGAATGTTGAACACAGCTTGAGGAAATCCGTTCAACCTGACGCGGAGCAGACACGACGAACGGATAATTCCTTGCAGATCTGGTTGCTCGAGGCGAAAGGCGTGCCAGCGAAGAAACGATACTTCTGCGAGGTCTGCCTGGACAGTACTTTGTACGCGAGAACCACCGCGAAACTGAAGGCCGACCTTTGCTTCTGGGGCGAGCACTTCGATTTCCATCATTTGCCTTCCGTCAATACCATACAAGTGAACCTCTACAGGGAAGCTGACAGAAAGAAGAAAAGGGACAAGAACGTTTTAATCGGTAAATATGGATAAATGTAAAATTACGTTGCTTGACAAACTTAATAATTGGCAGAAATCGAGAAACAAATTGAGAGTTTCTTGCCAACAGTTTTCTTTGGATGTTTTTAACGGCTCGTGTAATTCAAAGAGAATTTGTCAAATCCAATACATGCAATTCCTCAAAATTTATTATAAATGAAAATTGAATGAAGTTTTACTTTGAATTGAATTATATTTCTGTTATTTCTCTTTCTCTCTCTCTCTCTTTTTCTCTCTCTCCGATAAACCAAATCCATCTTCGATAAAATGAAACGTACTCTGAATATTCCTGAAAATGTTTGAAATTTTGCCCAGGTTCCGTGAGTATACCGGTGCACAACGTCACGTCTCGTTATCTAACAGAGAAATGGTACACCGTCGTTGGTGATAAAGGTCCTTTGAAGGAGCCTCCAGCTTTGAGGGTGAAATGTCGTTTCCAATCTGTGGACATACTGCCGGTTCAAATATACCAAGAGTTCCTGGAGTATTTGAAGACAGATTATGCGTCCTTGTGCGAGAAATTGGAGCCAGTGATCGGTGTCAAAGCGAAAGAGGACATCGCCACGGCTTTAGTAGCCGTCATGCAGCGCGAAAAGAAAGCGCCTCAATTTCTCGCCGACTTGGTGATGATGGATATACACAGAATAGGTGAGTCATGCTGATCTTCAGTACGGCTGAGAAGCAAGAATTTATCGATTGTTTCGTAAAATTGAAATATATAATGAAAATTCACTTGTTCGCTTCTTTATGACGTTGTAGTTATATCGTAGTGTACACATATATATATACGTACGTATATATGCATGTATAGGAAATCAGTATGACAAATATGAAAGATTTCTGGTTCGATAGCTTATCTTATAAGGATTAACGAAAACAACTCTTCCGAACCTAAAAAGAGAACAAAACGCACCTGTTAAAAGAAAAGTATCTTCGGACAACCATCGGGATATTAGAAACCATTTGGCAGAATCTTCTCTTTAAAATCTTTTCTTTCCTGCAAAATATGACACTCCCCTGGCAAGATTGATCTCGCCTAAAGAGTTAAAGGAGTCGAAGTTGCTGCAGTAAATATTCGTGCGTTTATTAACGAAAAATATCGAATTTCAGACGACGAGAGGCTCACGTTTCGAGGAAATTCTTTAGCCACGAAGGCGATGGAGGCCTACCTGAAGTTGACGGGTGACAGGTATCTCCAGGAGACCTTGGGGGCTGTCGTAAGAGGAGCGGTGGAGGGTGGCGACTGCGAGGTGGATCCACTGAAGGTCGCCTCGGTGGCAGCCCTTCACAAGCAGCAGCAGAATCTACGGAACGCCGTGGAGCTCGCCTGGAGTAGGATATTGGCTAGCCACGCTCACTTTCCTCTCGAATTACGCGAGTGCTTCCGTATATTCCGCGAACGCTTGGCTGACATGGGCCGTGAGGACATCGCCGACAATCTGATCTCTGCGTCTATATTCCTCAGATTCCTCTGCCCAGCCATTCTGAGCCCGTCCCTCTTCAACATTACTCACGGTAAGTCGAAAGCTCAAAATATTACGTTGTCTTGCTCGGTCTATGTACCTCGTCCGTTATTAGCGATTGAAACTTAAATCTTTGAGACTACGAGGTTGTTCCACGATTGTTGTAACTAGTATCAGAGAGCAATTTGTTTCAAGTTTCAAGAAATCAAGTCGGTGGTAGTGAACAAAAGTGGAATTAATCGGAATGCGATATATGTAGTTGACTCTCGCTAGCAGACTACGACGTTGTATATAACGCCGCAACGATAACACCGTGCCGATATATTTGATTTATCAACAATGCATATCTCGGCCCTATACCAGGAAGTTGCACTGTGTAAGCCGCGATATTAGCGACACTGCCTTTGAGTAAAAAGGCACTCTGTATTTGGTCTAGAGTCTGGAATGCACGTAAAAAGTGGCACGCGTACGTGAATCCTTTAAAAGCGCACCTGATTGAGAAGAGACGATTATCGTCGTCGTCGTCGTCAGAGAGTAGCCGGAGAATCGTCCGTTGAATTAAAATAATATCATTTTTTCGATATCAGATTTCATCGTTTGATAGATTTGATTGAAGTTTCAAGTTTTTTTCTTCTTCATAATTTACTCTTCTTCTACTTTCCGAAAAGATCGATATAAAGATCCGAAAGTAAAACAAGTATAATAGTTTCGTCGTCTCTGGTGGTAAATTTAAAAGACGAACTGTATCGAGTGTATGTAGCCAGGCAGTATTTTTAAATAATTTTAAATAAAATGTTTGAAGACGTTAAAACAGAAGTAAAGTGTTTTTTTTAGAATATCCAAATGAAAAGGCAGCGAGGAATCTCACTCTCGTGGCGAAAACGCTTCAAACTCTGGCAAACTTCACGAGATTCCAAGGAAAAGAAAACTTCATGGAATTCATGAACGATCTCCTGGAGCGAGAAGCTCCATCCATGAAGAACTTTCTTCAATTAATCAGTGTACGCGATAATTCTTTATTTTTTAGCACGAAACTATGAAACTCGTGACTTATCGAGGTTAAAAATGTTTTTTACAGAGCCCTTTGCCAAAGGATGCTCCGGCCAATAACTCGTTGGAATTCGACGGGTATATCGACTTGGGCAAACAACTATCTCTGCTGCATGCGCTTTTACGCGAAAGTTTGGTCACGATATCTTCGTTTTCCTCGTCACTGCCTCCATCGAGACTACCAGAGATCCTCGAGAGGATCTCTATAGCTTTAGATCAGTCGGGTCCAAATCCAGTGCCCGTTTCTCACCGCTATCCAAATTTACAAAACAACATCTTCCGCTATAACGATCCCACGATAGCAAACAGCAATACCAACTTGTCTGTATCAGCAACGTCGACATTGAGCAATCACAGTACGCTAAATGGAACAATCAGAGATAGCAACGAAGTGTTGCAATCGAACACACTAAGCCACAACAGTTCTCGCAGCCCTAACGTAACCAGAGCAGCCACTCTGCCGCGTAATGCATACATGCCGACCAATGGAAAGCTGCAGCTACAAATTACTACGGACGATTATCCGTTGGAGTCGCCAGCTTTTGTGTCACGTTCGCCCACACCCATAGTAAGACAACACAGACCGTTAGGGTCGAGTAGGGCGGGCGCGGGATACAGACTGACCGCTAGTGCGAGTCTGGCGAACGTGAATCATTGCCAGACACATCCCGCCAGTCCTACGAGATCAGAGAGTCACAGCAATCTGAAGGATTCCAACTACAACATCACTACGTCGCAGATCAACCAATCGAATAACTGCACAATTATGTCCCAGCAACAACAGCAGCAGAACCACAGACACAACATAGCGCGGTTGCAAAACCTAGACATCCATGACAGAGAAGATAATTATAACCATAATAATTACAACGTCTCGAGATCAACCAGTAGGAACCACTGTAACAAGGAGGATAACGTGAACCAGATGCAGCACCAAAATTATAACAACGTGTCGAAAACTACGGTAAACGCAAACGTCGTAGTGAATCCTTCGTCGAATCTCACTCTATCGATCAACCATCAACCAAACAACAATTACACCAATAGCAAGAACAACACGACTGCCAACGGTAATTTGGACGAGCTGTCCGATCTATTGAGGTACGCCGACGACGAAGTGTCGGAATCAAAATCACAAAAGGGTTCGCAAATATCGATCTCTCAGTTGAGCAACGTTGCTTCGTCCGGTTACCAAAGCTTCGCTGCTTACAGTCAGAGCTCCAGTCCCGTGGATCTCAGCAGCAACAATGCAAACGCACATATACTCAATGCAGCCCCGCTGGCTTTCGCCAATCCTGTTTACCACATGGAATCGAATCACGGAAGAAACGGCAGGAGAGGCAGCAGTAGTTCCGAGGAAAGGGATGGAAACGGAGGAGTGGAGGGTGTGAGAGGCGTTGATCTCAGCCCGTCGCCTCCGCCACAGAATAACGTGAGGAATCTACAAAGAAATAATCAGAACCAGTGGAGACAGGCCAACCAGACGCACAGAAATAACTCGGAACAAAACCAGGGTGTCTGTTGCACGAAGTTAAGAAGGAGACTATCGCTAGATTCTACGCGAGACCTCTCTGATACCAGCGAAGAGGAGAGCTGCACAACGAGGAGGAGCAAATCTCGCAGTCATCGAAGCATCGATCAGGTAATGGATTTATTACTACTACAATCACGACCGGTACCTACTTGGTTTTTCTGATGGCGAATAAAATTACGGACAGTCGATTAAAATATGCTATTAATTTCTTTGCGTTTTCGAAAATTTAATAGAAATTTAGATTTTAGATACTTGTTAGAGACTCGTTAAAGTTGGAGCTCTACGTGTTCGCTTTTCATTACGTACGCCTTATTTTATTTTCGTTACTCACGATACAATAATTAATTAATCTGACTTTATTTGACGGGAATAATCGTGAAATAGCATTTGTCGAAGTAATCGTTCTATAAATTCTAAGTTCTATATAAATTTAAAAACCATTCGTACAATTCAATTTATCCGTCATCCGCAAAACCGAAGGAAAAAATAAAATCTCTTCGACTTTCAGCAGTGATCGAGGCAAAGGAACCGTAATAATCGATTTCCATCCGACTTATCTTACGAGATCAAAGAGGAACTTATAATTCTCTCTTAATCCATCGTAACTCGTCCGTGTGTGTACATATACTCGTAGTAACGTATACCTTGTGAATAACAAGTTCCTCTTTTACCGTGCGAAAGATCGTCACTTTTTGTCTCTGTCTTTTTCTCTCTGACCTGTCGCCTAACGGAACGCCTTTGTAACGTGTATGTCTTGTAACTAACAACGCCACGTCTCTTCGTTTCCAGTACGAAGTGGAAATCGAGAGGTTGCAGAGTAGCGTAGATCGACTGAGGGCCCGGTTAGGCACAACCGAGGATACCGATATAGACGGCGTTGCACCGGATACCAAGATGAAGAGCATCATTTCCAGGTACTTAATCCTCATTAACGCTGCCACTAACCACCGATTGATTATTTGCCTGAGTGTAATCACCCCATCACCGTGACGACTACCACGTTTCTCTTACGTTTCACCCTTCGAACCCTTCCGTCTCATCATCAGTCACACGTCGGTTCTCTCTTTTCTTCCTTCCTTTCCTTCGTTCTTCTTCACCGCGATTTTTCTCGTTCGACGTCTTCTCTACGAAGATCGAAAGATATCCGTGAAGAGACTATCGATCGTTTGTTCGATGCTTTCTTCGCGACATCATTTTTGGATACACGATTCTCGGCGAGATCCAACAGCAATCGTGAAACGCGATCTCCGAAGTGGCAGACAGAGTTGAGTGAAACGTAGCTTAAAAAGGTATAAAAGAACGTGGCTTAACAAATTTAAGAAAGACTAATTAATATCTGATCGGTACATATTAGATGCAATTTATGAATTCATAAATGCGAATGTTCGTGCGTATTTATAATACGTCGTGTTTAATTTGATATTTGATTACACAATTTCGTGAAATATCGGTATTAAAATATGTACAAAGATTCATTTATGAATCCTTAATTTCTAAAATTAGAATTCCTTAATCAGACACGTTACCAGTTACTGTTCTTTCAACAACTTTGTTCTATATTCTAATGTTCCTATGTTCTTTTTCTGTGTATATTATCGATTTCATTACACGTTTACTTCTTCGGTCTTTTATGTGCCCTTTTCTTTTCTTTTGATTCATTTATTTTTGTTTCATTCGTCGTTTAACTTTTATTCTTTGTTCGCGAAATTTTGTACAATTACGATATCTTCAGAATTAACGAAACACGACGCAAGATATATGGTGTTTGATCGCAATGAGTAATTGACTCTCAATTCGATTGTTATTTCTACATTTTCTTTTACTTTTACCTTGTAGAAACGCATCTTGGACTCGTGCAACGCAAAATTCAAAGAGTGTATGTACATAGTTTGAAAAATATATTTTCTATTTTCTCAAGAAAAAAGATTCCTACGTATATATTGGTAAAATAAAGATAAAGATGTAAACGTAAATTTACAATGTTTTATCGCAAGACGCAAAGTTTATTCAGCTCCGTCTGCCAATGATTTCAAACCGGCCAAAAGAAACTGTTGCTTACAGTTAGATAAAATTCTGTAAATATACGCATAAAGTACAAGAGCCGAGCCAAACGAAGAGTAAAAACGAAGAAACACGATATTACTTTTTTGCGTAAAAAGTATCGAATAGTAGAAAGAAAGAAAATATTAAAAGAAGGAAACTGTCATCGAGTCGCGTAACTCGAACTCTCTTACTGTTTCTCGAAATAATCTATGTTTAATTGATTGTGTGTTCCTGTGCATTCTATTCCGCTGCATTTGGTATACTCTGGCTTGATCTGGACCTTGGTGTAAGAGTCAATTATATTTCTAAGCTTCTTACATTGTTACATCACACGTTTTTAGCGTTTTTATACTCATATATATATATATGTGTGTGTATATATATATATATATATATCTTGTCCTCTATCTTGGTTTTATTCGACAAAGATACGTGCCAGACTGTTTTTTCTCTGTGCGCATACTGAAAAGCAATTCGATACGGAAATTCTAAGTTTGTTCACCCAATTTTTGTATATATATATATAACTATACTCAAAATCACTGTTCGACGGACCAGCATTCTCACCCTGCGTGTTTTATACTTACATCACCGTCCAAAAAACATTCTCTCGGTCAGCCACATGTCAATACTTCATAAAGTTTCTCAATATCAGATACCGACAGCCTCACACACGCCTCTGATCACCCGTTCGTTCTGTTTCACGCGTGCACGGTTCACTTTTGCAACCACTATGATTTTTGTGTGTCAGCTCTGCGTAGTGCGTTGCAAGGTGCGCGGGAAATGTTCGGAATAGTTGTTCGCGTCGTGCTCTCCTCGACATTTCCTCTCGCATTATCGTACTGACACGCACGCGAATTTGACTGTGGCCAATCGCAGAAGCAGACTCCTCGCTTCTTTGATCGAAAAAAGCTCTCTTAACCCACTGCATTATCGATCGTTCTGTTTTTTGGTTGTTCGAGCGTATGATACTTTGCACCAAATATTTTACACTGTTGCTTCCTTTGACTTTCGTTTCCAAACTATTTATCGGTGTTTTCTTTTTACTCGATATGTGCATCGTGGTACGCTTGGATCCTTTTAAGCCTCCCCGTGAAATCTCTCTTAAACCCGATGATTCTTGTTACATTTTACTCGCATTGTTTGCATCGATTAAAATATCAAAATTTTCGACCAAAGATTCCATCGAATAAAAGTGGCAAACGCGAATGCATCGAGAGAGTTCTCGGGTGAAGCTGAATTCCGTGTGTGCTCAGGACCATCGAAGCAACCTCTATTCGTCTATAAGAAGGATCTTCTTAACGAGAGCTTTCGTCCGTACAAGATAAACGTGCAATTTTCCAAATGAAACGTTCAATCTTTACTCCTCTAAAAAGAGGGAAGAAAAGCGATCGGAATATAAGACAGAGATTGCACCATGGTCGAACACGCGAATCTAAATATCCACGAAACACGTTGACGCGAGCAGAACCGGCTAAAATGATCACCGATTTCATTATTCTAGGTTAATCTCCGTGGAGGAGGAGCTACGGCGCGAACAACAGAAGATGTCGGCTGCGTTGTCGTACAAGCAGCGCGTGATCGACGCGCAAGAGCAACAAATAGCTGCTTTGGACGCCGCGAATTCGCGTCTAATGACGTCAAACACAAAACTGTTGTCCGCATTGAGCACCCTGAAGCAACGATACAAGTCGAGCCAGTCGAGCAACGAGGCGGCTGCGTTACTCCAAAACATCGCTGACATTGGCGAGCTGAAGAGCTCGTCCTGTTAAGAGAAAGAGATAGAAAAGGGAGCAACCGCATGGACACCGTTGGTGGGCGTCGGCGTGAGGACCAGCCAGACACCCGGTGAACCGCCGTGAAACACGTACAATCACCAGACAAAGCAGAAAACGCGAAGATTATTTTATCTCTCGCGTTTGACGAATGCTTCTGGATGAGGAGTCTCGAGGATGACTCGATCGATACGATTGCTCGCGTGTAAATGTTCTAGTACGTATTCTAAAGAGGAAATCTCAACGAGGAGCAAGCGACTACTCCGAGTCTGACTTTCTCTTTAGTTCGTTCTAGTTTTTGGTGTTTCCTCGTTTAGTAGCGCAACATCAAAAGGAAATACCGTATTACTGTGGGAAGTTCCACGAGGATACTCTTGCTAGGTTTGACGAAGCTACGCAAGCGGAGAAAGAGCGCAAATTGAAAGAAGAGAGAGAGAGAGAGAGAGAGAGAGAGAGAGCGAGAGAGCGAAAGAGTGAAAGGCGTGCGAAAATAGAGGCTACCTAGTAAGTAGGCAAATGATTTAAGTAGATAATTTACGTCGAATTTAATGTGACACATAGCATTTAGGATTATTTGTATCGAATCTGGTCGCGAATCACGCGATACCCCGTAGTTCTCGTTTGACAGAAGTCGATGGACCCTTAGCTTTGTATCGCCACGTTTTAACATTAGATTGCTTTACGCAAACCTGTCCCAAGCGACTTTTCTTCGTTAGAATTGAACGAACTGGAAAGTCGATGGCCTTTGAGTTTAAGGAACACGCTGGATTTCCTGGTTGGCGAACAGCAACGAGGTCGATCGACTTGTTTGGCGGTAGATGAAAACGAAAGACAAATGTACACGACGTTTATCTCTTCTTTCGTTTCATTTCCCTTCTGTATTTTCTGAATTCTGTTATTCGTTCTGCATCGTGTATACGTACCTTGACACCCGCACAGCCGCATCCACCGTAAACGCCAGCATGATTTACGAAGAATTGTACCGTGGAATTAACTCCAAGTTACGTTGAAAGATTTGCAAATGTATTTTATGTCTTAATCATCGAAGAAACGATTCTGACGAATATGAGTTCTAAAGTTGCTTGATTTTGAAATATAGTCAATTTCTCAGGTTTGAAATATTGTTTTACAATATAATCGAATGCCAATGAGATGAAAATTGAAAGAAATTAATGGTTCGCTAACAAAAATACCTTTAAATGTATCACTAGCCCCGATATACACGATTAGTTTTTGTGAATGGAACTTTGGAGAAACGTAACATGACATACTAGGTGACTTGCGACGTGTATGTACTTACTATATTTCGAAGTTTCTTCTTTTATGAAAAATGTGTCCAAATTGACGATTTCTATATATATATATATACGTACATATATATATATTTCTAACAAGTCTTACATTTTCATAGAATATGATAATAAATTGACTTTCTCAGATATGTGTTCATAATATTTTTGGACATGTATATTCAAAATGGTTTCCATTCGCATCGCATAAATTAATATACAGTGTGTTGGCTAATTATTTACAATAATTCTATAGTTGAGTCAGTAGTCGTATGCACGTAATGACTATATGGCTACTAGAAGTTTTGTGATTTCCAAATATTCTAAATATTATGAAATAGGAAAAAAAGGAAAGAGGAAAAACTTTCTATATTACGGAAATTTATACTGCGGGATCGATATAGGCAGATTGTTGTCGATATAAATGTATGTAACGCGATAAATAGAAATACGTAACAAATTTTAGACAGTTAATACTTGGTACTAGTACTTGGTTCATTTATACCGATTCGACACGTTGGACCTGTGTAGTGTCTTTATACACTAGTAATATTGTTTTCGTAAATAAGTTGACCCTTCATAGTTCCACGCATCTGGCTAGTCTACATATCTATATGTCGACATTTTTAAACTTTTATTTGCCGATCATTCTGCTGTTATATCCTATTAAACAATCTATCGATAACGATTATCAGCTTTTAAGCCTCGCGTCAAATTAAACGCTCTTATCAACTATAACTCCTTTCTCTTACGAACAAATAATTTGACAAAACATATAAAGTATAACGAAACAAATGATTCGGCAACCTACGTATATTCGTCGGAATTTGTTCCCAAATTTTTAAGCTCAGAATATGCCTGCAAATCGAATAACGAAAGAGTAAACGTATATTGTATTATTAACGACGTTTGACACGCCAACATGTAACATCCTCAAGCACACCGAATCGTACTTCAGGACCGTATATATGTGCGCATATTTCTCTAGTTTACCTGCTCGTGTGTCGCGTTCGAGCAGCAAAACGGACGCACGACGTTTTTCTGTTCGTGCGCGATGCATAACGTTTTTTATTAAAGACTTCTCTTCCGTCGAACGATGAAGAGAAGGATGAAACAGATAAGAAAAGAAAAAGAAAAGAGAAAGAACATGTTATTCGAGCTGTTGAATTTTTCACTATTCCGTGGAAGCTTTTTGTTTGAGCGTTCGATTCGAATATCGATTCTTACTGTAAGCGACAATATAATTTATTTAGTAGTTTCTACCAAAGATGAAGAAGTTTTTATTGTAAAAAGCATCGAGATTTGCGTGTAAGATATTTTCTGTTTTCGTCACTAAGCGTTGCTCGAGCTAACGCTGGTCGATCGCCGATCAGATAAAAAAAGTGCCGGCTGCACGATGTATAAAAAGAGTCCTCTTCCTTGAGAAGATCGTGATTCGAAAAGAGAACAGTCGTGCACCAATATCTCTTAGTCGCGCGAACATTTTGTTATATTCTATATTTTTCTTTGTCTGTGTTTATTTTCTTTTAAGATCGATTATACACAGCAATGCGTCATGCATAACAAATTAGGTACACTATCGATGACAGTCTCGTTTGTTCGCGATCATTAGCAATCATGTATTATTGTTTTACATCACACAACAAGTATATTATCATCGTAGCCATTGTATAGCGAAATGCACGCGTGCTAGATCGAAAGATTTCGAGAGAGAAAGAGGCAGAGTATGCGTGAAAAAATCTAAAAAACGAAGAAAATTTGAATCTGTGTATGCCTGTGTGTATGAAGTATATGAGGAAAAGATTACGATTCAGTCTAATCTCATTTAAAAAAAAAGTATTATCTCGACAACTTGTATCATAGCTCATTATTCGTCCGTGAGATCATTTTATTTTCTCGCTTTTTGCCAATTATTTTTGTATAGAGATATCTATCTTTCCCCGTTTCTTTCGTTCCCACCATCCAATTTCATCCACTTCTCGTACCTTACTGCCCTCCATTTTTGTTTTGTACTTTCTTTAACCACGACCCTTTTTACGGAGAGGTGATTTTGCCGACGATATTTTCAATCATCGAGTGTTGACACCATGAAATTAATATATTCAACGGTACACCCTTCCTCTTGTTAGACAATGTAATCGACAAACGATAAAGTAATCTATTTAAAAGTGATTTGAGTAGCGTGTACATTGCTAAGTTTTTTGGTATATTCGTTTCTGTAATACATCATCTGTATTTAAGCGTATAGCATCTATTAGTAACAGTACATGAGCAAATAAATATGATTAGGCATATCATGGTCGTTAAATAAATATGTATATATTCCAAACATATTTCTCTTTTTAATAGCAGTTCGATTTATCATTCGATCGTTTGAAAATTCAGGGAAAAAATAAAGAAACGTCCGTATTTAATAATTTTAGTGGGTCTACGCAGCCAGAAAGAGAATAAGATTGCTCACGCTGATTGTTCTCGTTGTTCTCAAACTAGTACTGCACTATACGGCCAAGTGCTGAAAGGTATTTCATCTTAGCATATACAAGAACCTATGAAGTTAGTGATTTGCTCTGTTTGGCTAGCATTTACAAGAAACTATTTATGTAGTTCCACCACAAACGAGATATGCTCGTCTGTGGGTTACACTCTACATGAACCTGTTTCATTGTACGATTCTACGGTGAAGTTCATACTTGTCGATCCGAGATAGACAAGTAACTCTACACACAATAGCTTTTTAGACTTAACATTAAATTTACTTTCTTCGTCATAATGTTTTGTTATAATAAAACCTGAATTTCATTTTAATAGTAATTTCAGTACTTGATGGGCTGCGAATAATATTTTTCGCGTGATGCATGTGTTTCGCATGCACGTTCATTTACAAGAGCGATAAAAATAGAAGAACAAATTAGCCATGGACAAGGATAGTTGTTCAGAATCATACCTTCCTCACCGATTTCAATGATTTTTAAATATGTTGTAGAGGGTGTGATTCTGAACAACATTTTTCTATACATATAACCTCCGCTCGGGCCTTGGTTTCCGAGATATTCACAAAATACTGTCGGTATCACGATATTCAGTTGTTGCAGGTTTTTTTGATTAAAAAATTACTGAAAACAAAATTTTGGTATATTAAAAGCACTTAGTGATTTATAGAGCATTATAGAGCACTCATATTTATAGAGCATTATAGAGCACTCATATTTTCATTATGTTATACTCATTATATATTCCCTTATTTATCGAAATAATTAAATTAAAACTTTCCTGATATTTGAACGCAGTAGAAACTAGTAGTTTCTTGACCGCCGTCTTTATGACGTCAACATGTCTAGTACATGGTCGTATATACAGACCTGGACATTTCCACGGTGGGGTAAGGCTCTTACCGACCGGACGATGTTGGTCAATTTGTCTACAAAAAGGCGCCCCGATCTATTTGTTAGGATTCGTTGCACAGCGCGATCTTGTGTCTCCAACGACAAGGGTGACGACAGGACTCTTGTTCGCATACCTCAGGCGTCAAAGACGAAGCAGCGATAGATATAAATGTTCTTAGTAATTATGTCGGTAAAATAGCAAAACGTCGGTGGGCCAACGTCATCTATTTTATAATTCTATAGCTTGTTGGTGATATAATCACTGACGAATTGTCTACAATAATTTCTATGTTCGCCGTAGAAAATCGCAAAGGGCGTAAACTCTGTTTTTTTTGGCAGGTCGGTATTTCATAACCTAAGATACGAAGTTCTACTTAATGTCATGTCTATCCTATCCTTAGTCAATGGTGTAATATATATTACATCGTAGTCGAGATATGCTTTATATGGCTTTACAAGTCGGTCGCCAGCTATAGAACGCGGCCTGCGTTGCTGCCTTTGGTGATAACAATAACCATGTATACAAATGCACGAGCTCGTTGCAGATTGCAGCTGATTGCAATTGTAGACCACATCGTGACAGGTCTATGATATTTATATTGTTTTGTTTAAAACAAATTAATTAATATTTTTATCAACTCGCTGCAGGCTCATCCTGTGATCGGTCAATGCTCGATCTATCTTATGTATAAATGGACCTTAAATCATAGAGGACATAATAAAATCTGATTTTTTACACGATCGGTATTTCAGATCATGGAACATCAAGTTCTATAAGATGATAGGTCTAATCTGTACCTCGTCTATGGTTATACCTCGTCTTAAATTAAACGTTATTAATAAAAATAACTTTTTTAAAAATGAGCAAAAGTGAAAACTTTATTAAAAAAGGCACCACTATTCTTACCGCCAAACCATTTGCTTATGTCCTTTGTTCAAAATATAAAAATGTCCGGTGTGATTATTGCTTTAAAAGGTTTAATTTACATAATATTTTTATTTGTAATGCAAATTAATAATTACTTTGCTGATTTGCAGTGTTATAATATAAGTAGAAATTATTTAAATCTTGTCACTTTTAGTGGAAAACTCTTTAGATGTTCTGCCTGTCAGTATGTTTATTATTGTAATCAATCTTGTCAACAAATGTCTTGGCCCATGCATAGTAAAGAATGTGCAAGATTAAAAAAATGTTCACCATGGGGTATATCAAATGTTGCAAGACTAATGGCACGTATAATTATAAAATTAAATCAAGGGGGAGACGAAGAAAGAGGATATTATAATGAAACTAGTTATAGGAAATTTAAGGACTTAATGTCTCGTAAGCCTTTATGTTATATAAGAAAACGAATTACTATTTATATATTTCTACTCAATTGATATTTAAAATACTATCTTATTAGATTGTTCTGAGATAGAAAAGGATGAGAAAAAAATGGAACATTTTGTATGCTTATGCAATGTTTTACATAAATTTCTTGAAGATATGCCTATACCAAGTACTGCAGAATTATTGGGTATTTATGGCAGAATTACTATTAATTCTTTTAGTATATTTAATTCGGATATGAATATCGGTGTTGGTATTTATTTGGGACCTTCTATTCTGGATCATAGTTGCAAACCTAATGCTGTAGCAACCTTTGAGGGAACTACCATAACTGTTAAAGCAATAGAAGATCTTCCTTCTTTAGATTTGTCTCAGGCAAGTCTTTTAACCTTTTTTGCTTCTATAACGTTGTAATAAAATTTTTTTTGACAACAGACAACCGTTTAAAGTATAATGTAGTTATGACTAAACATGTATAGATAAGGATACCATACATTGATGTAATTAAAACAACGAGAGATAGACGTGCAGAACTACAAAGTTCGTATTACTTTTGGTGTGACTGTGAAAGATGTGAAAAGCCAGAACCAATGGCAGAAGCAGCAGCATGTCCAAACAAACTTTGTACATATCCTTGTGCCCCGAATGCTGATTTATGTGAAAAGTGTAATACAAAATTCCCAGAAAATTTTAAAGAAATTTTTGATGAAATATCTGAGTTTACTGCATACCATCTAGAAAATATGAAGAATATTGCCTGTATCCTTCTTGTAAATAACGATAGTTATTAGCTATTTATTGATTTAATATAAGATGTAATAAATTCCTTATAAAAGATAGTAGATCTGGACGTAAGCAAAATGTGTCTCTCAAGGCAAGAAGGCATTTTACATCCTCTCAATGTGCAGTATGTACAGACTTTACAAACTGCTTTTGACTCCTCTATAAATTTGCAACATTGGGAAGAAGCTGAATCCTATGCTAAAAAACTTATTAATGGCTATTTGTAAGAAGAGCATCTTTTTGAGTATATTAAATTAATAAATAGAATGTAACTTATTTTCATATTTCAGAACATATTATGGAGAAATTCATCCGTCAACTGGAATACTTTATTTATCAATAGGAAAACTTGAGGTATATTTGAAAAAGTTAAAACAAGCTATCAAAACGTTAAGAAAGGCTAGTTCAATATTAACAATAACACATGGAGCACAACATAGTGTGATAGTAGAAAATTTGAAACCACTTCTTTATCAAGCCACTATAGAAGACTTCAGTGAATCATAACATTTTTTATGTCGATAATTTATAATTGTATATAATATATTAACAATATACAATTTACAATAAATAATATTAGTATTTAAGAAGATGAAATTAACATTTAATCCTAAGGAAAGATTATATTCTACTCGTATATTTGAGATGTAATAATCAAGTTTTGAAAAGCACCGCTTCCATTAATACCAACTTTACAATATTACTATAGATATTTGCGTAATGTAGAAAGATATGCAAATTATGATAACGATTCTTAAGTATTTACTTTAATAGTGCTTTCCTTGATACTCCTTATAGTATTTAACAATGCTACGAATATAATAAAATAAGTGATTAATTGCCAACATTACGACAAAAAAAAATACATACAGCTGCTAAGTGACAGCTGCCCAAGTTTTATTAGATCTGTTAAGTATTACGAAAAAATTTTTATTTTCCATGGAAAATTCGATATAACATGTGGTAAGCAACTATTTTCACTTGCAAATTTATTACCAAAGCAATTAAAATAACATGTTTACTTCTCTATAATAACTGTAATGTATGCGATGTAGCATGACTGTAGTAAACATCAGATAATATCAATTCATTTAATAAATATTTTTTTTATACTTTTGTTGTGGATTTCAAATATAATTCAATTATGGGATATTTTTATATATTGTGTAATGTTTAGACTATTGTTCCATTAAATATCTTCTTTAATTTAAGGCAGCTTATGTTTTATTGTTTCATTTATTTTGTATAAATAATACGTATATAATTCAAGCTTGTGCTTATTTAAATACGTGTTATATTCTCTGTTAAGTCAATATAAAAATCTATAATCTATATGTATATAGATATATATAATTTTCTAGATATCAGTTATAAGAATAAGGAAAAATCCTTATCTGAACTATCATTAGTGTAGTTAAGAAGAAATATACAATGTTCTCTGCATTTAAAAGACTAGCTGGAAAGTCAGATGGAGTTGGCAATATATCTCCTAGACCAGCTCATCAATCTATGCCAACAACTTTGCAAAGAAAATTTGCTAAAGGTGTACAATATAATAGTAAGTGTAATAAACTGATCTTGAAAAAAGGACAAAATGCTTTAAATAAAAGGAATTTTATTTTTAGTGAAAATTATTATAAAGGGTGACAGAAATGTAGGAAAGACTTGTCTATTTCATAGACTTCAAGGCCAAAAATTTATAGAGGAATATATACCAACGGAGGAAATACAAGTAACCAGTATTCAATGGAATTATAAAGCTACTGATGATATCGTTAAAGTTGAAGTTTGGGATGTTGTAGATAAAGGACGACGTAGAAAAAAGTTAGAAGGTTTAAAAATGGACAATTCGCAATCTGAAAATATTATTGAGGAACCTGCATTAGATGCAGAATTTCTTGATGTTTATAAAGGGACCAATGGTGTCATTATTATGATGGATATTACAAAATCTTGGACATTTGATTATGTACAAAGAGAACTTCCAAAAATTCCTAACCATATTCCAGTAATTGTTTTAGGGAATCATTGCGATATGTCGCATCACAGAACTGTTACATCAGATCATGTAACATACTTTATTGATTCGTTACATGAAAGAACAGCGCAAGTAAATTTATTGATCTTATTAGCTATAAATGACCGGTTGAAAAGCATATTTATAACATATTATTCTACTTTATTTTACTTCTACAGGTCAGGTATGCAGAATCATCTATGAGAAATGGCTTTGGATTAAAACTTTTGCATAAATTCTTTAATCTTCCTTTTCTTCAACTGCAAAGAGAAACATTATTGAAACAGCTTGAAACTAATGAGGAGGAGACACGTTTGACAATACAAGAACTTGATCTCTTTCAAGATAGTGACGATGCCAATTATAACAAATTTTTGGATAATCTTGTTAACAGAAGAAGAGCACTTGCTGATTCTGTCTCTGCCAGTATTCTAGTCCCTAATGTTACATCTTCTTTGAGCAATCATAATATATCTTCCAATGGCAATATAAATGTAAATGCTGAAGTTAAAAGATCAGTATCTATGCCTGGCCCAATAGGAGGTGGAACTCCTATTCCAGTGAAAAATATAGATTTTAAATCAATACCAAAGAAGGAAAATTTTACAAACACTTCTGAAATTCAAGCAGTTCCTATTAAAAATTCACAGATTACATCGGTATTATCTAGTACACAAAATATTTCAAAAACAGATTCTAAAATGGCTGAACTTTTAAGTGAAAATTCTGACAGACGGGATTCAATTAGCAAACCACAATCACTTATGTCAAAAATATTTGGTAATAAAAAGGAAGATGAAATAGATAAAGGAACGCATATTAATAGCCCAAATACAAATGTACCCTTAACTAGTGTTGAAGATTTTGTACCAGATGATGGATTGTTAGATCGATCATTTTTAGAAGATGGTAGTCAAGTTTCACCACAAAAGGTACAGCATGAGGAGCTAGATTCTGAAAGGTATACTAAGAATATATAAGTAAAAATGAACTTGTAATATGTTATTTATTTTTAATTTTTGTATTTCATATTTTATAATTTTCTATATTCTTAACAGTGATACCGAAACTGCAAATCCCTTGGTTGCCGGATATGAAGATGATTTATCATCAGCTGACGAAGCAACGCCTCCTATTCAACCTAAATTAGCTGAAAATCCATTGAGCAAACAAAAACACAAGCGTGAAACTTTATCGCACGCAGAAATAAATCCGGAAAAACTGCGACAAATTACGAAACGTGATTCTATCTCATCTATAGACCAAGAATTACAAATATCGAACAATTATGACATAAATGAACAACAAGAGATTAACTCGGATGCATTTGATAGTTGGCTTCGACGTGATTCCAAATGGAGACAAAGTCCCGAGGGTGGTGAAGATGTGAGCAGTAATAGCACCAGAAAAGATAGATTGGAGCTGAGTGACAAAAGTTTAGACGTTAGTGTAACAAGTTCTAATGTGCATTTAGAGTTGCTCGACAATACCAGCGTACGTCATATGAGCTCCGATGGTGGGAGCCCTGTGTTAAAAGAAAAGAAAAAACATAAAGAAAAGGTACGTGTCAGATATAAAACACCTTTAGCGTAATTTCACACTGCTTAATAATATTAATTGCAAAATGAAATGCTTCTAGACGGAAGATAGAGAGAAGAAGAAAAAGAAGAAGTCCAAGGATAAAGAAAAAGATAAAGAAAAAATAGATAAAGCAGAAAAGAAGAAAAAACGTTCGCTACATCGTTCAAGAGATGAAAACAGAGAACGCGATGAACTTGAAGAATTTCTCAATGGTTCTGTAACTAGAATTGATGTTGATGTTGCCTATGAAGCGATATAGTGTTTTTTATGTAACATTTAATCTACCTTTTAATTAGTAACGCTGCCTTCTAATAACGCGCATAAAACATTATGTAATGTTGAATTATTAATATAAATTTTATATTTACAAATATCTTTCAAGCAAATAATATATGATGTAAAGATTTTGTTACTGTTCTTTATATGATAAAATAACGTTATAGATTGTAACAAAATATTTCTAACGAACCTTTTATAGTTTTGAACGTTCGATAAATTAGCATTCTGCGAATATCTAACACGCACGAATGTATTTTTGTACATTTAAATGCAACATATCGAAATTATTTATTTTAATATATTACATTTTTATCAACGATATATTTTTCAATGTTATGTTGGAAAATAATTTGAGTGCAATATGTTAACTCTTCTTTAAAATGAAAAGAATTGCATTCAATTAATGTTGTAATTGTACCATTACCACTATTTTTTAACCTCATATATCATAGCGCAATATGTCATCGATGCAGCTTCATGTTAATAAATGTACATAAATAAACAAAAAGTTATCATATGATTTTATAACTTACTTTTCACTTAAGATATGTCTGAACGTGTTGTATTCAAATTTCAATTAAAATTTCAAATTTCCCACTAAACACAAGCGCCATCTTTCAAATTTCAAACATCTGTTAAAAGTGCTTGGAAATTGTAATGGAACATGTGTGAATATGCCGGAGGCTGTCTATAACATGACACTAAGGTCATGCCGACAATTCTATTTTATATTACATTATATGTGTAATTAAGCAACATTGTATACAAATCAGTGAAACAAAAGATCCAGAAAAATGTCATTTTATTTACGTCCTATTTCAAATAAATTTACATCTTTTGTTAATGTACGAAAACAAGCAACTGATATCAACTATCAGTTATTAAATAATATTAAATCCTCTTTGTTTTTGGATGAAGTAAGTCATGATTATACTAATAATTTTCGTACAATAATTGTTAATCGTTTATATTTATATGACATTTTTAATTGTCATCATATAAGACCTCCGTTTCAAGAACTCGTATTATTGCGTAGAATAACTTAACCTCAATATACTTATGTAATAATCATTTTTTCATAATAATTTATTGATGTTTTATCGTTCTCACAAAGGCATTATTAACGATTAAGTCATTTAATATTTTTCGTCGTTTTCCTATTGTTTCGATATGTTAGTATTACATAAATTTTTGAGATTTTGGAAAATATTAATTGGTAGAATTGTTAAAATGAATAGACATTGTATTGAATTTTGTTAATATATACTAACACAGTATGGAAATTCATGGCCTTCTTATTAAAAACTTTAACAGTTTGTAAGTGACAAAAGCTATGTATTAGTAAGTGGTTGTTTATTTCTGTATACCTCTCTTTTATGTGTTACTTAATTTATAATTTTACTATGATTTTTCTATTCAAATATTTTTGAAGCAAAATTGTGATAAAAAATAGATATTCAATAACTGACTTAATTATAGTTTTTAGATACGCAAGAAAGCTCAGTAATAAATAACAGAGAAAAACATTTGAATTCGACAGTTCATTTAAGTCAAAATGAACCAGCTGTTTTTGATGCTAATATCGAGGGTCATAAAAACAAAAAATATAATTGGACTAAACAGAGAATTATTAAGTTACATAAACAAAAACAAATGAATACTCAAATGCAAAGTGTTATCAATTTAGATTTAGACATGACATTATTAAAGAACAATGCACAATGGGAAAAATCGTTCTTGAATTTAAGAAATAAAAGTTTTTATTTACCATATACAAAGATGGTAATGACTAAGAGGATATCTGATAATGTCTTACTTAGCTCTCAAAAGGATGGGATACTTTACGCAGAATCTGCTCCTAATGTGCGTAGTGTAAATGAGATGCAAGCTTCTGAGGATCGTAATCCAATTGAATCAAATTTACAAAATGTGTTTGATATTCTTCGTAAGGATGTATGTTTCTCTTTTGTGCAAAGAAATTGTTCTAAATTGCATAAAACTTGATGAAATTTTATAAATATTAACATCTATTTCTTTCAGTTGCCACTTCTATTTGTTAAAAAATTGGATTATGGAATCTATACGAAGGATTTAGTTTTTGTCAACAATATTAGAGGAACAACAAGTGTGTAAGTGCATAATGTAAAATATTTTTATTATTAATGTTCTCAAAATAAATAATACATATATTTAAAAATGTTTTACAGTGGTATCCAGCATTATTTTAAGCAAATAGCGCTTTTAAAAATAATAGGCCATTTAAAGTATGCTTTTGTTAAGTTCGAGGTTTTAAAAATGACTATGCACCCTGAGGATAACAGTATTAAAGTTCGTTGGCGTATAGTAGGTATTTCTGGTACACGTGTATTTCTTACATTTTGGAAAATTAAAATGTGGAATTCAAAAGAACAAACAGAGAGTACACCATCGTAAGTCATTTTTGTAATTCTTCAACAATTGTTTTTTATAATCCTGTTTAAATTTATATTTATCTATATTTATATCATTTATATTTTTACCAACAGGTGGTATGATGGTTTTTCGACTTTTTATGTTAATAATGATGGGAAGGTATTTAAGCACGTTGTCGATAAAACAATGCCTGATCAAAATGTAACAGAAAAATTTAAGTCACCCATTGACGCAAAACTTGCATTATTTGTTGCTTTATCAGGTTTAGATACGCATTTTACTCAATTTTGCTTAAAAAGATATACTAAACTGCTTCGAATAAAATAAAACAGTTATTACAATTTTTTAAATTATTGCAGCATGTAAAAGAAATAAATGATGAAGTTACATAATTAATATATTGTTTAAATTTATGTAATTATAGTTAATAGTCATGTTAAAAAATGTTCCTTTTTAATACCTTCGAATAAATTAAAATAATATAATTGAAAAAAGCTTATGAGTAGATTAAATTATATTGATTAATATCATTAAAGCTATATAGATACGCAAGTGACAGAATTTTGTATGTGATATAATTTATATGATGAATATATATAATTTTACTTAAATATTATGCATTAGTATTTTACCGCATTGTTGTTATAAGTGATTGTTAACAAAGAAAAAGATATGTTTTGTTTTAAATACAGTTTTTGTTACTGTTGTGACGTATTATTTTACAATCTCAAATTCATAATAAATAAGATATTTATTCATGATCAAGTAGATGCATGTTTACTGACGCATATATTTAAACAATATAGAATTTAAAAGGTAGTATAATAAATTAAATAAATATTCCCTACTTTATATGGTATATAAAAGTTATTATTTTATAATAAAATATTACTTTAATTTATATGCAAAGCTTACATTAGAACAATCTATGTGTTGATTGCATTCAATTACACACAAGTCCTATAAAAGAAAACATGTGTTATGAAAATGAATAATATTGTAAGAAATCATTAGGCTGATAAAACAAATATTTACCCAGATAATCATCCATCAATGTTCCAATAGCAAACTGAAATATATATAACATTAGCATTTTAACATGTAATAAAAGATATTAAGACGAAGTATTATATGTTATGAATACTAACAATTCCTGTTGCATCGACTCTTGTGCCCACAATTTTTAACCTTATCTCATCATCTGGTTGAATAATTACATCCTGGAATTTATGAATACAATTTTTAAGTTATACTTTTTTATTGTATACATCTTTTAAATACCTACCTCTTCTTTAGATTTGTAGCACGGTGGATTTATATTTGGACAAAACTGCATATCTGCTGGAATTGACTGCAAAAAGATTTAGTTATTTGCAAAATACAATCAGAATTATAAGATACATAAAAATAATCTTACATGGTGCGATATAAAACATGAAAGTGGCCCTATCTCAGCAAACATTCCAACCTAACAAAAACATAGAGAATATATAATCTTTTAAATTATACTTTCATAGAAATTTAGAACTGCACTTAATGTTTACCTTGTTTACTTGTGTTACTATAGCATCTAATACTTCTCCTTTAAATGGTCTGAATACAATGGCCTTGTATTTAACAGGATACACAACAAAACCTTGTCCTGGCTGTATGATCCCTGCACCAATGTTATCTATTGTTGTTACAGCAACTACGAAACCATATCTGAGATACCAAGAATTATTATACATAATTACTTAGAATAAATATATGCATACTACTTCAATCATAGTTTTAAACTTACTTTCCCGTACAGGTGCCTTCTACTTCAGTATACAATTTTTGTTTCACTGTATCTAATAATTGAGGTCCAAAGTATCTAGGGTGTAATAAAATTTCGTGTTCTAACGATATCTGTAGAAATAAATTATTGAAGAAATAAATAAATAAATTGAGTAGTCGAAATAAATTATTCGCGCAATATTTTATTTTAACAAACATTTTAAAATTAATATTTATTCAGTTTTTATGATTTTTAAGTTATATGTATTTTATATTTTATATTAAAACAACTTACGTGATAAAACATGTTTATACCAGGTCCCCCCAAACGTTTGTATACGGAATATAACGGCCATTTACACAAATAAATAATTCCTCCAAACATAACCTCACATTTCGTATGTTTCGCGCAAAGGCCGTCACATGTGGCTCTATAATTATAAATTAACAGTTTCGAATCTTTTAACTTTATACCGGACAATTATTTTGGTAAAATTAGGTAGAAGTATATAGTTTATAAGAGAAAAAACGTAACATTGATATTTAATGCAGAAAATAATTTATTCTCATGTATTTTATAGATAAATACGATTCTCAAAGAAACAATATCTCTGATATAAAATATTGCATTAATTTATCTAATATTCGTTTCACAAGCTTTCGTACTAATTTACAATTTACATAAGAAAATAAAATTATTGATTATCATCATCTACAAAATTTAATTTTCGTTTAATTTCTAAAGCTAATTTATATCCAAGTTCTGGTCGGCGATCTTTTCCTTCGACCATTGCTTTCACTTGACTTGAATTTACAATTACGCCATTATCAGCTATAACGGTAGCTTTAGTTTTTTCAATGTCAACAAGGTCTACTCCTCGACTACAGTCATCAATGAGAATAGTTCGATAACCGTTTGTAAGTGCATCTACTGCAGTAGCCCCGACGCAAACATCATAGGCTAATCCACAGATATATATATCTGTCGCGCCCTTTTCTTGTAATTGTGAAGATAGACTTGTTTCCATCATCTTTTTATTATCCCAGAAAACGGAATATGAGTCTACTTCTGGATTAGTTCCTTTGTATATCTTAATTGCGTTGTCTACAATTTTCAGATCTTTATGAAGTTCAGCACCCCAGGAGTCTTGAATGCAATGACGCGGCCAAAGTCGTTGCTTTAACAATGGCGGACCTCTGAATGTTATAGTATCATAAACTTGTGCTGCTTCTTTTGAGATTCCGCTACTAGGATCAACATCTCTGTAAAAAATATAAAATATTCAATTTGTAAATTACGTTGGAAACATAAATCTATTAACTTAAAATTAAAATCGATCTAGATTAATTACCTTAGATGTAAATTGTCAATAAAAGATACGTGATCCATAGGATGCCAATCAAGAGAATAAAACACTGCATCAAATTGTACAATTTCTAATAAACGATTAATTGGTTCAATTACTTCTGAACCATCATGCTGGGCAGCACATTGCTTAATATTTAGGGAACCTGTTATGAAATCGTTTTGTACATCCACAATTAAAAAGGCGCTCTTTGGACGAGTGCATGTTTTAATCCATCGATTCCAGCATATCTAAGATAACATAAACTAAATGACTTGATAATCATTTCAACAATATAATATTTACAAATGTATAAATACCTCAAATTCTTCTTTGTCAATTTTTCCATCTCCGTTCAAGTCAAATATAGAATACATTTCCTTCAATTGATTTTCATCGACGTTGTAAATTTTCCCACGATCATTACGAAATAGTGCACGACAAATGAATTCAAATTCCGTAATCGACAAATATCCATCTCCATCTTTATCAAATGCAGTAAAACATGCATCCATGTTCCTTTGATGTGACTTCTTGCGTCTATGTTATTTGTTTAATCAATAACCGCATTAGCAATGTGCGATTACATTATATATCATTTTTCAAGTCTCTTTAAGGCTGCAGTAAGTTATAAAACTCTTGTAATATATGTGTCGCACATGCACATCATTTTGATTACACTACAGTGTTTTGTTTATATATTTGCATTACTATTTGTGTACTAATAATATAGCATTATCAACATCAAATATCATTTAATAGTGCCGAAATAGCAAATAATTTGATATAAGGAAATAAGATAAATAAAGTTTAACCTTTTAAATTTTCTTATTGCTTTATTTTACATAAAAAATTTATGATAAAGTATAAATTTTTTTCATTTGTCTATGTACTTATCTGTACAAGATCGGAACAAAATATTATTGTTGTGTTAGTCTTTGATGAGTTAGTAGCGACACATCAATTATTACCTCTGGTTCCAGCAATTCATTTACTTTATATTTCATAGATTCTTCATAAGCGTATGTAACAGATGTATCTGTAAGTTGGATATTACATTGTGCTAAGATTAGAATACAATTACGTAATCGTGCGCAAACTTCGCGGTTTACTTGAGGAATCCTTGACAAATCCTGCGTGAAACCACCTTCTGATCTATCAGTATCTTTCTTACTAGCTCCAATCCATATATAACCATTATTTCCTAATATTAGACTCGCACCATTTGCCAAATTGTGAAAATGGGTTTTCTTTCTTTTTATAAGAGCCGGTGATACTTTCAACATTATACCCTGAGACAATTTACCATACTTTAAGACCCTAGTGTGCAATGAGAGCGAACCATCGACAAAAGTACTTTGTACTTCTGCACAAATTAAATCTCCTTCCTGGAGATATCTTCTCATAGTTTGTTCATCTTCTGCAGATCTTCTCCTCTACAAATTATATACAAGATAGCATTGCCTTGAAACTTATAAACAACTTAACATACGTAAACTATATGAGAAATTATATTATTATATCGCACCAATTCACCACCAGGTAAATTAACACTAGACAGCAATAATACAGAATCAAGTTTGGAATTTGTGTCAACTTTCCATCGCTTCTGTTGTACCTCGGTTATACGACCGACAACTACATCTCCTATTTCACCCTGGTAACGTGCTTTCAAAGGTCTTATCGAAATAAGTTTATTTACTTTTTCTAAAACGCCAGCTACAGATGCGCGTAATGTGTTTTCATCGTCCACGTATGTCCCATGTCCTCTAACAAAATTAACATGGCAAATGAATCTTTTTCTTTTTTTCTTACATTAATGAAATTTACGGTATTTACCTTAAAAAGTCAGGCTGACTAGAAATCTCCTCTCCTGGTGTATATATTCGAGGTTGTATGTCTTCATTCTTTATTATATTTAAATCGACTCTATTTACTGCCAAACGTACATTAATAGGTGGATATTCTTCCATCATAGATGTCTGTAATCGTTTTTATACTATACATATATGATAATTAATATCTGCATAAGTATATTGTATCTTATTTAGTATTACGTTGTAACGATAATATTTGAGGTTATGTGAAATACAACGAAAGATGCGAAGTACACACGTATAATATTGCAAAAAATTGCTGTCTGATCAATTGGAAATTAATTATTATAATGATTATATATGTCCAAATAACAAATAATAAAGCAACGATAAAACAACGAGAGAATTAAATTTGTAATAAATTGATATTTATTATTTTTAGCAGCTTTTATTATTTTAGCAGTGAGTAAAGGATGATTGTGTATTCAAAAGAATTTTAATCTCGTACATAGTAAGTAAATATACATATATTTAGGTGAAATAAATGGTATAAACTGATAATAACAATAATTACGTTTTCAGTATTTTATAATGGAAGATTTTATTCCAACAAGAGTATCAAAAATAAAAAAGGACGCCGTGAAGGAATTCGTATCGGTAAATTATGAAAAACCAAAGAAAAAGGTAAAAACTATTGAAAGTAAAGAAAACAATGACGTAGAAAATTCTAAATTCAACGTAACAAAAAACGAGCGGAATGAAAATGACAAAAGAAGAAAACAGGAACTAGAAATGAAACGCGTCAGATACGAGGTTATGAAGTTCGGTATGTCTGGTTTTAAAGGAGAAAAAGCAAAAGAAGCGGAAATAGCGCTCGCTGTAAGTTTAGGAGCAAAACCTCCCAAAAGGAAGTGTATTAATTATAAGATATTACAACGTGAAAGGAAAGCTGAGAAGGAAACACGGCAAAATGACGTGACACATGCATCAGGTCTTGAAAAAAGTCTATCAAATCATAAAAATAAAAAAGCACGGTGGAAGCGCGGTTCTGATGGTTTACTGAATGTTTATGGAAAAGTAAATAAGAAAACATTGGGTAAAAATCAAAAATAAAATTTTAACCATAAACATTTAAAATACTTTTAGTTGCTCTGTTCAATAGTTACAACGTTAACTAATTGTCTAACAATAATGTGTTTCATGTAATGTATATTATATATGAGTAACAAGTAATAAAATAATATTTTTATATATTTGTGAATTCATTCGGGCCAGCCTTAAGCTTCGATAAGAGGTTACATATCTTTATCTATTCATATTTAAAATAGACATTCGTATCATGTTCACTATGCCACAGTGGAATGATTTGGCATTTAAAAAATCACACTTCTGCATCTGATCGAAATCAATCAAACGCTGCGGCCGTTGGTGCGACTTCGAGTAACATCTGAAGAAAGGCATTCACACCTTCTGCGAACAGAATGAATAATGCAAACGAGTTTCTTTATCTTGCGTCAATTTATTCAATTAACTTTCTTTAATGATCTTACCCATAAACTTGGGCACGTATCCGTATTTAACAAACGGGAGGTAGACAAGCATGCCCGCTAATATGAACCCAGCCGCATACAGGTATTCAATTTGAGGGTTATCGATGATTGGCGCTACAATCAGGTACGCAGAGATTCCAAGTACGAGAACAGGTATTATCAGCGGACATTTATATGGTCGTGGATGATTCGGTCTGGTCCTTCGCATCACTAATAGAGCTAGCATTGCTCCACCATAAAAGATCCAAGCAGTGAACGAAAAAAAGTCGATCAAGGAATCAATGTTTCCGGATAGCACCATTGCTCCTAATCGATGAGGAGATATTTTACCGAGTACTTAGTGGAATAGGTATATGAATGTAATGGAATGTGAAATTTGTGTAAAAGGTACCTGCAACGAGGGAATGGAAGATAAGTCCTGGTGCAGGAGTAAAGCGTCGTACGTGAACATAACTGAGACAGTCAAGTAGGTGGCCCTCTCGAGACGCGGCAAAGCAAAGTCTACCCGCTGCAAAAAGAGTGCCATTTGCGGAACCGAATGTGCTAATCGCAACCGAAAGTGGCATAAGCCATGCCATAACGCCAAGAATTCGATTTCCAAAAGTCTGCAAAATATTAGTCCATATTTCTTTATCATTTGAATCATTACAAATACGAATTACTAATTGAATTTCAACCTGACTCTCTGCTTTAATACTCGACTTCTACGATAAAGGATAATATTAAAAATTGTCTTACCACTGCAACAGCTTCGCTTTCGATCATCTCCGAAGGTGACATCACGGCCAGGTAGGAGACATTTATCAATGCGTAACATAGCGTAACGAGGGGTATACCAATCATAATGGACCGTGGTAGATTTTTGGAAGGATTTTTGATTTCTTCGGTGACATAATTGAGATTATTCCATCCATCGTACGCCCACAAACCAGTATAAAAAGCTGTGGCTAATCTGCCTATATTAACGGTACTACCGTCCACGGTATCGAAAGCGCCTTTCAGATGCTGCGTATTACCCTGTATCAACTTATAAGAGCCACCGGCAATTACAACGAGTATGGCGATCAATTTTGCTGCGGTAAACGCGTTTTGTACACCTGTGGCTAGATTAACGCTGTAACAGTTCACTAACAGTATAAGTATGATCGCCAGGAGTGCAACGATTTTGACTACTTCCTCGGGTGGATCGCAGTCGGCCGCAAAGGCTTCAACCGCGTACTGCGCGAATGACAAACAGATTATCGCCATCTGAGATGGTTTTAAGACCAAAGTGGAAACCCACGAGAAGAGGAAAGCAGGTGGTGCACCGAATGCGTCCATAAAGTAAGCGTACTCGGCGCCGCTGCTCGTATTCATCGTACCCAGCTCGGCGTATGCTAACGCACCGCACAGACTCAACATGCCGCAGGCCGTCCATACGAGGAAGCTGATTCCGATACTGCCGGTTCGAACCAAAAGCCCTGACGGCGAAACGAATATCCCAGAACCTATCGTTTCGTAATTCGACGACGAAGAAGAAGAAGAAGAAGAAGAAGAATTTGAGATTGTACTATTTCTAATTAACCGTATAAGATTTTACTGAAATCGTATAGATTGCTCTACCTATCATGGTACCAACGATTAGAGCCACCCCACTGACGAGTCCCACCCGTCTCTTGAGGTGAACAGAGTTGTTCTCCTCTGGGTCCGCCCCCTCCAGCCCTCCACCCCCTCCACCACCGTCTTCATCATCTCCCAAATCCCCAGATTTAACTTCTTTCTGTTTCCGTTCGTGTAGCTGTTGTTGTTCCTGTTGATGTTGGAACGGAGACGTAATCGGGTTCCAGCCGTTGCTGTTGCCGTTGTTTCTGATCGATCGAGAGACCAACGTCGTTTCAGGAATTCCATTCCATCCACCGCTTTGTAACTGCTGTTGCGATTGGTTCCCGTTACTTGTCTGTGGATCATGTCCCACGGTAACTGAAATCATTCGTATTATTTCGCTTACTAAAAATCATTCTTATTCTTACATCGAACAAATTGGATCTTTCAAACATCGTTCGATATTGCTATATGACATTACTACGTTATGTTATAGGGGTATACCGTAAATCGAATCGAAGGTTCACAGAAATGGATCGTACGGTTACCTTCGTACATAATTCATCGAGCTTTATTATCGACAATTTCAACCAGCTCCTCGACCTTGTAAATGGTACAATTTTTCGCTAAGATATACGACTTTGCTCTGTCATTAACTGACATTTATAAAGATGGTTTGAACGTTAACGTCCAGTTTTTTTACATCCGCTCCACACATTGTGATAAAAGTGAACAAAAAAGGTTGCCAATAATTTCACTTAAATTGCGTATAAACGAACTGTCGTTAAAGTCACTGTAAAACGATTTACGAAATAAACACGCGAGAATAACGTGAAAATACACGTGAAAATAACGTGAAAATAACGTGAAAATAACGTCAAAAAACGCAACTATCGGGCAGGTTTCCTCGCGCGACTAATGAAAGGTATTAGCATACTTCGGAGAACCGCGACGATCTAAAAAGTGACAAATCGTTGAATTTATACTTATATCGTCGTGTGACGTACATTATTATATTATTATAGTCGAGATGTTGTTGCTACCGTAATAGTTCGTTTGGCCAGACGCCAAAGATTTCTCGTGACTAAGATCGGTCTGCCTTCTTTATACATATTTCATCGTCTAATAGACCGTGAAATATAAACCCGTTTTTCGGAATTTTTACGCGGCTATTAGCTCGACCGATACCGGAAATATTGGTAATGTTATCGAACGAACTCGATACCGAGTTTGTTAATCGTTTTTTTAATAGATTGCTTGCTATCGATCTTTTCCTACGCCAGCCTATATCGTGTACATTGATAATCAAAATTATCAATAATAGCGTCGATACCGAATACGAACCGGTGGTAAATGTTTTTGAAAATAGAGAAGCTTAAAACATTTATTTTATCGAGCGCGTGACCATGGGTATTAGGTGTATTGCATTCTTTCGACCGAACCTCGTACTGCGCGAGACGTTCGTGGTTTCATCTTCAAGGTGACCTTTGAATAAATTATTGATTTTCCTGTTAACGTATCTACGTTAACAGTTTATCATTGTATCGGATTTAAATAACGTCTACGTACTTTGAAATATCGGATATCTTCAATATATCAGAAATCCATGGAATAGTAACACTGGAAATATTTCACCTTCTCTTTCTCTAGTTTCTTTATTCGTTTAAATGTATAAAAAAATTGGAAAGTTGATTAAATGAACGTTATAAAATTCACGAGACGCATCATTTTAATTATAGTTTAGTTTGCACTTTCTTTATCGGCGAGCGCTTTGAATAGCTTCATAACGGAGACGTTTATAAAAACTGCTGACCGTTTATATTTCTAAATGGTAGCATATCGTTTAACCGTGTAGCTGTACAATTCTTTTAATATAACCGAGTACAACATCGAGTGTGAAATACTATCAACATTTGATTAAATAAAGTTCGTTGATGCGATGGAAAGCGCAGTTGAACGTATCGTAGCTATGTTTAAGCTGCAATAAGAAGTCTTGCGAAAGATTTGTGTCTAAACTATCCTGGTTTAGTTATCGATAATATATCAAAAAAAATGACGCAATATGACAAGAGATGCGCGCGTGCGTTATTTTATAAAGCGTTATGTGCAAATGTGAAAGAAAATAAATATACGATATAAAAATGGAAATATAACATTATTATATCCTCTATTAACGAGTATTACCGATTAAACGATATTATAATTGTTTTGTGTAAAGGTATAACAAGTTTCACAGTTTTTAACGACTGAAGAGGAAGAATGTCACTAGAGGAGGATAATTACCAATGAATATTATGCATGACCAATGACGAATTACAAATGAGTTAATAAAATTCGTCGAATCGGTAAGACGATATGTTAACACGGATATTTGCAATATGACGCGCTCATGCTTCTACGCAAAGTCTACTACCATAGCCTCCCCACCTATCGTTTAACGTGTGAAATCAACTCATAAAGAGAACCTTTAAATTTTTTAATTTAAATTATGCTTTCTGTTATATTTTTATTGTCTACGTCAAGACTTTCATTTACTGCTACTGATACATACGTATACTATATATGCTTCTAAACCGTGTTAATGCCTATTGTGATAAACTGTCGTAATGATCCAATTGCGTTTAATTGATCGTTCGTGCGAAAGAAACCGATCTCTGTGCGACATCTTGTATGAAAGAAGATTTTGCCTACGACTGAAGGTCGAACTGATTATAAAATGAACCAATAAAAAACGAAGATATAAATAGAAAACAATTATTAAAGGGCTATTATAAACTACCATACCTCTGAAAAAAAACCAAGAAGATGTTAGAATCGAGCTGAATTCAAAACATATACTCTAATTGCATTTACTAGGCTGAACGTCGTCGTATCAATGTGTAATGTATTTTACGCCGTTCAATAATTGTATCAAATTCTATACAGTCAACGATTCTTTAGTCGTAGTGATCCATTCGACGAGCTATCGAAACGAATTTTTTTTTCAACCATTTTCATCAACCTACATATATACGTAATTTTAATCGATTCACCGGGCTCAAAATTGTAGCAACACGACAAAGTGTGGTATACTTCGCTATATTTAAATGTAAATACTTGGTCATTCTCCGTGTTACGTAAATAATGATGGAGAATATTCAATTTACTCTTAACGTCAAATCGCAAAATTGTTCGTGTAAAACTGCTAATTTACAGTCGTATGACATTGGTTAATGGTTTTCGTTTCATTTTATCGATCGTTATATTTCTCATTGTCTGTAACTTTACTTGCAGGGAAGACGACTTTTAACTCTTTTGTTTCACAAACAATGTGTACTCTTAAAAAACGGTTTGTATATAGACGGAGTCGAAAGATGGCAACGGAAGTCTCTGATTCAAGATGTAATTATCTTACTCGGTGCATTTCGCGTGTGACGTGTTCGATTGTTAGAAGATCATGAACGAGCTTCTAATAACCGTATCGTTTAGAATAGCAAGGTTCTTACGATAAAATCAACACCGCTTAGAACACGTACCACCTAACCCAGATAGTAACCGAACACCACAAAGGCAAGCAAGACGCATTGGTTTGCATAGAAACTACAATTGGCTTAAACGGAATACGCGTCGTAGAGTACTTACTTGTCGTTGTCTGTTCGTTCAGCGATTCGTTAAGAAGTCGTTGTTCGTCTATTTGTAGCCACATCGCGACCAACGCGTATTCATCGTGAAATGTTAAAAATAATCCCGAGACTCTCGCACGATATCAAGATCGATATCGGATGATATATAATGATCGATTATCCATAAAAGTTTATACCTTTCGAGAATATAACGCTGCGCAATTTCTCGAGTCAAAAAAATAACTTCTCGTATCCGTCTCGTTACTTAAAAATTATCGCGTACATTTATTGACCGTTTCATTAACGCCAAAACATATGCTATCCTGATAAATGATAAATTTCTATTTGCAACGGAAACGAAAAACCACTTGCGCAAAGTGTCTTAAAATACACCTATGGGCTAGATTTAACATCTGGGTGAACCTGGAAATTTGATTCCTTCTTGTAAAATAAAAATAAACAAGAAAAAAGACGAACGCGTATATCGTACATATATATGCAAATGGAATGGCAACGAATACTTTAAATTAATTTACTATTGCTCTTGATAAGTTTAAATAGAAGAGCAGAGATATTCTTGGAGTCTCGTACGAATTTCGAATACACACCACGCATATTCGGGTTCCTTGTTTCATGGAATGATGCAATTCTTCGTGCAATTTGGCTGTTAAATTTATTCGCTGTATTAATGTCCCGCACTTTTTCTTTGACCTTATCATTTATACTTCATTAAACGCGATATTATCGTTCCTCTTTATCTTATTTTAAAGCAGTTCGCTAAATCGCTTATGCCAATTATGATCGATTGTAAATAATCAAGATTGTAATGAAAGGATTTGAAACACGTAGCTTTTTAATGTATTTTAAATGTTATATGGATTTTCTAGCATTCTGTTTTAATCCGTCAGTCCAATTAGAATTGTTTTCTTTGATATCAATAAATGTAAAATCGCAGGAAATAAAAAATTAGATTTTTATAAATTATAAATAATATGACTTACTTTTTTTGTCTCTTTACATATTACATATTTTTTGCTAAATTGTAAAATATAAAATATCGCGCTCTGTAACGCGTAATATGAAGTTTTGCTCGTCGTTATCGTGTTATAGAATATATACAAAAGAGAAACATAATTGGCTTCACGAAATGTAAATCGCCGTACATCTTGGCACACACGTGTTTTCTGGTCCTATAACTAACACAAATACGTACCGACAGGTTTTATTTAATCGATGAATTACCAAAACATTTTATCAACACGATATCGATTATAAGCTGATCTATAGTCTTCTATTAAACAATTAATTCGGAATAAGTTTCCGTTCTAATTTATTTACCGGTTTAAAGATAATAAAATCTGTCGGTTTTTGTTTGAGTATATATCGTATTGCGAATGTGTCTAGGCTTTGTGATCTAATCATTCTTTATGGGCTTATCAATTTCTTTAATTTCATGAAAATCAAATACCGTTCGCATAATGACGCGCTTTGTACAGTTCATCGATGCCAATGAGAAAGCTTTTCCAAGAATGCAAGTCGCGTTTATGAATGAGCAACCTGATAAGGGTAAAAAAGCGCGCGAATTTTATCAATTACGAATAAATGGCTGCTCTCTCCATAAAATGTTCAGCATTAAGACACGATGAAGAATAATAATTGCAAATGAGGAAAAATGTCGCTCACCTCGTTTGAAGGGCGCGACATGCATGACTCTAAGAGGGACCGATAAGAAGGGCGGACTGTGAGACCGCCTCTCATGACACCACGCCGACTTTTCGAAGCAACCACTGTCTCTGCCCTATACAGCTGTCTTCAACCCGCCGTCTGCTTCTTTCCTGCGCTAAATTCGCTCGCAAATTTCTAGTTCTCGTTTCAACGGGCGACTTTTACGTACGCCCTTCTTTCCGCTTCGGATTTCGAACAATAATAATTTGTTCGAACGCTAGAGTTCTCTTTTATTCGAATCGAGTATTTCCGAATTCGAATGTCGTCGATGATATCAACCGTATAATGCGAATTTGCGTATGCCTTCTATGTGATTATAATATTCTGACTATTTCCAACACGATTCGCACCAATCCACCTCTCACGATGAACTGGATGTTCGGCAGAGGGAGACATACCCGCCAAAGAACGAACAGGCACGAGATCGGGAAGGGGAAATTGAAAGTGCGACAAGGAAAGGAAGATTGTAGCACGAGCGCCTAGCGTCGGCGCTCAAATTCGCTCGATATCGTTTTTCCCTCTTTCGACTTCTATTAGATATCTATTAATTTATTTTTTCATACATTGAATACTTTCCGTTTTCCTATCATTCCACTATTAGGCATGTTGCCAGTTTCAGTAGATGGTAAATATTTGAAAATTTTTATCCACGTCTACGTGTAATTACATAGATAGAAATATGCAGTTTGTCATATAAAATAAATTGATAAAATGATAAATGATACAGAGAAAATAAATAAGCAAGATATAGATATGTTTAAAGTACACCTTCACTTTTTATGCAATTATAAGAATAATACTGATCATAGGTAAATCTGTGAAATAATGTTACAAGTAGTAATAACAAGACTGTAAATTTCAATATTATTGACTAAGTAGCTCTACGTTACAACTGAAGATCATATTTGCGTTTTAACAAATTATAGTAAGTGATTATAGTATAAAAGCGATGCTTTTATTATATTCAAGCGATTTTAATAAGATATATATATATATATTTGTGAGATAATGGATTATTAAATTATTAAATACAATATTGGAAATATAATAGAACATATTTTATAATATATATAATTTTACAATAGAAAACTTAACAATTTCATTCTCATAATATTACAAAATATTGCATTGTTGATTATACATGTAAACTAATTTTAAATATGTTTTTGACAAATGCAACTTTAAGAATTCTTCTAAATATTGTTTAAATATATTTTTTAAATAATTCTTAATTTGCTCATATATTCTTTAACTAAGTGTAAATATTTTTATATATACAATCAGAATGGTAATTGCAATCAATGTGTTTTTAAAATATTGATCTGAAGCCAACTCTTGTTCCTTTGTTTCACAGGAACTTCTGTACCAGTATGTAAATAAAATTATTTTATTTTTGTACTTGCAGTTAATATAATTCGTATTATTACATGTGTATGAAACGCGCGAGCGCGTGTTTATATATATTTTAGCTTAAATATAACAAATGAATTTTTGTTTTATAAATGTCTTTATGCTAGGCCAGTTTGTGTGTGCAATTTCATGTCATAAAACAAGACTGTAGTTATGTGCAATATACATAGTACTCTTTGATTAGTTATTTATAACATTCGTTTATGTATAATACAAATTACAAAAAAATAAATATCAGGAATGATTCAGTGTGCTTTGGTAAAGTAACGATAGACAAGAGTCGCCAGTACCCCAAGAGCAATTGGAATCAGCCACGATCGCCAAGAACCACTGCAACTGGCAATGATCACATCACGATGCTGCACTGACTATTTACATATCACAAATTTTGAATTCTCATAATTTTATGAGTTTGAATAGCACAATTACATATGATACAATCATATGGTGACTATATATCAAAATAAAAGATATTGCTATAAGTATAATTTTATAATATACTCAGATTTTTAATTGTGCTATCCAATCGACATAAATGACGATGACCGATAATAAATACAACACCAATATAGAAAAGATGTTAATAATAAAATTGTGTACCTGTAATACTTTGGTTAGTAATAAATATATATATATATATCTATGTATAATACTAACTAATATATAAAAAAATATACCTTGAATTATCTACATCAGACACATCAGTTACATCACTCCTTCCCTTTGTTCTTTCCTCCTAAAATTAACAATTTGTTAGTCCTTAATTATTGTTATTGGTAGAAAAGGTAGAAATTGGTAAGAGAGACATAAAATTATTAAACCTTATACATACTTCTACTAATTCTCCAATTTTAAATATCTCCATTAATTCTCTTGCATCACTTGAATGACCAATATCTTCAAAGGCTTCTGTACAATCTTGACCACCTTGTTCCAAAAGAACTTCTTCTCCACCAGGATGCTTGAATTTAAAATATAAAATAAATATTTTTATATGCAGTTCTATTAAAAAATGTCAATTACAAAAGAAATACATATAAAGTATATAATTACACTTATAAATTGAGTCACATTGTAAACTTTATTGTGAATAATAAACCACAGATCTTTACTATCATTATGCTTAGCGACTTCTTCCCGCGTGTAAAATTTGGTATAAGCGGTATCAACAGTGCTATTTTCGGACGCCATATTTTTTCTTCTGCAGTGGACAATATTTTAAAGTAAATATATAAGTATTATATAAATATTACTGAAAAGAATGAATAAAATATTGAAATGTGGTAAATGATGTATTATTTACAGTGCTCAATACGCTAAGCTCTGTTTAAAAAATACAAATCACGCAAAAATTTTATTCCGCGGCTTATACGTTAGCTACGACTGTAGCTACAGTCTGAATTCTATGAATCAGTTAGTGAGTGATTCGTATACTCATAATAGTAATATTGACCCTATTGACCGCTGAAGAGATCTGTAAAATTATTTATTTTTTCAAGGTTATCAGGGTTATCTAGGTTATTTTTTTTTTATTGTTCCTATTTAATTTTAAATAACGTATTAGAAACTATAAATATTACTTTTACAATATAAGGATACGTGCTTTTATGTAAATTGGGTATTTAACAAATGTTGGATACTATATAATATTATTTACAAAATTTTAACATTCATAGCTTATTGTAATAACAAATTTTATCCTATAAGTTAACAGTATTTATCGATGTAGTAATATAAACAATTATATTTAGGTATAAAACGTAAATTGATTTAATTCTATTTAAATATTTATATGGTTATCTTTTATATCAGTTCTTAATTAATAACCCAAAACCTCACACTTTGAAGTTGAACCAATAGGAAATCACCGATTTCAGTTATGTAAGTATCTAAACTAATGATTATAGGTTACAGCTACACCATAAAGCATTTTTTAGAATGCTAGTGTTTATATTGAATGCAGTTCTGTTGATGGAATACGAACGAATATTTTTATGTAAATTGATATTATGATAAATAATTCTTGATATTTTATTTTAGCGTTGGCAAGTGATGTTTAAATTTTACGGAATACGATTAATTTTAACTATACAATTAATTAAATAATAATATAAGATGAATTTTGCCGGCACTTTGCCTGTATTTATTGTTATTAATTTATTAACTGTTTGTGTGAAATGTGAATTTTCGGTTATGTCAGTGTTATCATCTGGGTTCAATAAAGTCAGTAAAATAATACAAAATGTAGAATGCAATTTTGTAGAATGTTGTACGACCGAATATATTTCTTCTGACATTGACAGTATGTATATTAAGTAGGATAAAGGTTTTGAAGGTTATGTGTACGTACATAATCAGATTAACTGGATATATGTGATGCTTTTAGAATTAGATGATATTCTTAATAAAGAGCTTTTTGGACAAGAAATTGCTCATCGTGTAATAATAAATGCCTTATATGGACATCTGACTTCATCTAATCCTCCCAAAGCTTTGACTATGAGTTTTCATGGTCCACCAGGAACTGGCAAAACTTACATAAGTCAATTGATTGCTAAGGTTCTTTATAAAAATGGGGACCAAAGCAAATTTTATCATTTTTTTAATGGTCGTAATGACTTTCCTCTTCAGGAAAAAGTAAATGAATATAAGGTATATTTCAACTATTATTAAACGGTTACTTTTCAATTTTAAATTGAATATGATATACTATTTTATATTACACAGGAAGAATTATATACAATTATTATTAATAGTTTACAAAAATGTGAAAGATCAATGTTTGTATTTGATGAAGTGGATAAAATGCCAGAAGGTTTACTAAATGTTCTTGTACCATTTTTGGATTACAATGCATGGGTTAAATCATGGAGACTTGCAAGCATTTCTATAAATACAAGGAAAGCAATTTACATATTTTTATCCAATACAGGTAGTTCGCGCATTACTCAGCGTTTATTAACACTTTGGGGGGAAGGCAAACAGAGGAGAACAACTAAGCTTCAAGATTTTGAAAATTTAATAAGTATTGGAGCATTCAATGAAAAGGGTGGTTTCTATCATAGTGATACAATAGACTCTAGTGTAATAGACCATTATGTGCCATTTTTACCGCTTGAAGAAGTACATGTGAAAAAGTGTTTAGAAAAAGCTTTTTTAAACAGAGGAGTACATCCTACTAATGATATGATAGAAGAAGGATTATCATATGTGGTCTTTGGACCTCCTCCACATAATATTTATGCAACTAAAGGCTGTAAAAGACTAGAACAAAAAGTGGCTGCTATTGTATATGCTAATAAAAAGACTAAAATAGAATTTTAGATATATGTATATAAGTATTACCTCTTTTTTATGTTAACATTTCCATAAGATCTAAATTTTATTGATTATTCTTATTGGCACAATCAGAAAAGTTGTGTAACAATTAAAAAAATAGTACAATTAATTTGTTACAATAATCACGTTGCGATTATTTATATATTTATGTATATGTATGCTTATATTTAAGAAATAGCTAAAATTTTTATCATTAACAGTACAGAATTACAGTATATACAATTGAGTCTTGGCAATTGACTTTAAAATATAGTCATAAAGGAGAAAGCTGTCCAGAAGTGTAAACATTTGGTGAAGTGTTCTTCTTTTGTATGATTCTAATATACAAGAATAGATAGACAACTTTAATCTTTATGACTTCTTGAAACTTTATTCGTACTGTCATATTATACCGAAAAATAATTATAATTCTTTTGATCTATACAAGTAGCTAAATATATATTTCTTTTTATGCGCTCGGTTCCCGTTTACGAACATGTACTTTCTATTTATATGATTGTGATACAGCACAACCTCAAGTAAAGAGAACAAAATAAATTGTATTTTTATAATGATACTAATGTGTGAAGATAAATTTTTCTATGTTTTATATAATGTAAAAATGCGTTATATCGGTTTATTTTTTCTTTTTGTTCTCCATTGAGGCATGTTTTAATAAAATATTATGATTGCACGATGTAAAACATTTTTTATCATCGTGCTATCACATGAAGGGAATATCTAAGTAGTATAATTTATGGCTATTCTTCTTCAACATATTCCTTTGGAAAAAACCCTACCTGATCTCCAATTTTTCCCTTCCACCAACCTTTAGCATCGCCTTCCTTGCTCAATACTACAACTCTGCAACCCCGCCGTAAACTGAGCTGATTCCTTTCTCCTCCGCGAAAATCAAATAATGCTTTAGCCAAGACACGTCTATACGGCCATAACAAGCGTTGATCTAACTTTTCAAAATTTTCTGATAACGATGCTCGCTCATAATATTCAACAAGTTCAACTACGCTTTTGAAGAAACGAGATTCACTGAGATAATATACATCAGCACCATCAACATCACGTTTAAATACTCTTATATGTTTTACCGCTCCGTCTGCCCTATAATATTAGATTAATATTTTTAAAAAGATTGACACTTATGTAAGGTAATATGTACGTGAAGCTCATACTTGATACTAAGAGCGTAATTGGTTTCGTGTTTCAAACGTGGTTGTCCGGCAGGCCGTACTCGCAGCATATAGGTACCATCTTCGCGAGGTTCTAATTTATTTGATGCTGTGTCACGTCCCATTTCTCCTACAAACCATAATTTCACCGAGAGAGCGCGTTCACATGGTAGAGGTGGTGGAGGCGGAGGTGGGGGAGGCACTGGCATACACCGACCCGAATGTGCAATACATTGTTTGTGTACAGCGTAGCGGCAGACCTCACATCGATAGCCCTATTTCGAATGAACAATTTATTAGAAAACCTATGTTACAATATTTAATAACTTTCAATTAATAAAGTTTTACCTGAAAAATTCGACCCTTTAGAAATTTGCCACATCGCTGACAACTACGTGGGGTGTCAAATGTTGTAAGTTTAAATTTATGATTTGTATTGCGACACGCGGCAGGATTAACATTATCCATTGCATCTTGCAATGCCTTGATCCACATTTGCTTTTGTTCTTCCGTTCTTGCATACAAAGTGTATGCAGTATATTCTTGTTTATGGACCAACAACCATTGATAGGACCATCGAGAATCTCTGCCAAGGGTTCGTCTTCCTGTATGATCTTCTAATCGATAATCATCGAGACGTAAGGTTTCACGATAGCAATATTGCTCTCCTCTACCTGCTTTACAAATTAATACTACTTGTTCGAAAATAAATGCGTAACGAGCTTTTACCCGTTGGTCACCGTGAGCTTTTACCTAGAATATGATTGTAACGTTTTGTTGACATTTAGAATTTCGTACATTATTATTACGAAATTATTACCTTAAGCTCTCCGTCCCTAAGTAATCGTCCAAAATCCTTTAATTGTGCATCTTCTGGAACATCCCAATCGATTATCGATGCCTGAATATCTCTTATAATGTCCAATGTATCTGAGTCACGTTTTACTTCATTAATATATTGTGCTATATCAACCATTACTTCTCTAGCTTTCCCAAGCTGACGCCTATCTTCCAGCCAATCACAAGGAGTTTCTTCTACTAGTTTATCGAGTAATAAGTGATATTTCAATACTCTTTGCATCGGGACAGATAAAATATCTCGCAACTTGAATTTGCCATTATTTGCTTCTTGTTGACATCTCTGCAATTACCACTTTCATTAAGAACAAGACACATAGGATATCATATATTAAAGATAAATGTTTTAAGACATACAATAACTTCTTGATTAACTAATTCATAACGCGCACATGCTTCTTGCAACGTGTTTTGAGCAAGAGTAAGGTTTGCGCAGTAATCGCCGTAAATAAGGAATTTTTCTCGCCAATCGAGAAAAACCTGTGCTAACGCAGCGCCAGTTCTTGCTTTCCGAAGTTGACTATGAAAGCCGGCATGAATTTCTGCAAGTTCCTTTATGCCAAAAAAAATACGTGCACAATCTTCAGGTCGTAGTAGCGAGGAAAGAGGTCTAGCGAAATGTTTAAGTAAACTGTTAAGGACATCCGAATAATTTCGTTCCGTTTCAACAAGTTCTTGAATTACATAATCCCTTTTTTCACCTCCAGAGATTGCACCATCCTGTTTCACAAAGATCGATAGAAAGTTCTTTTTTATAGGAACAATGTGGGATATAGAATAGTATAAAACATAACAAAATCAATTATTAATGTTATGATTTACAATTTTAAAATGCCACTGAGATGAATTTTTGATGATCGCATACATGTAAGGAACACAAATATTTAACGACCTGTACAACAGATGGAGGAGGTGGCAAGTGTAGACTACAAAGGTCCTGGTAGATTTCTTCACTTTGAGCATGGCTGCAGTATGCTCCATATCCATCTTCCTCCCCGACTGGATCTTCATTGTCGCCTCCTCCACCTGTCTCATCGCCTTCTCGCCTTCTAAATCTTCTGCGACGACCTTCGTCTTCACGGCTTTAGCATAAAAATATGAACAGCCATGCACTATTCATGCATGAAAAAAATAAAATTTCTTGCGAACTTAAACTATTTGTAGCAACTCGTTACTAATACTAAATATAGTTAGCACATCAATTTTCAGAGCAAATGCAGAATAAAGTTCAGAATAGTGCCAGTATCACTGTACTGAGATAATTTTGCCGTAGACATTTGTACGTGTAAATAATATTTATTTATACATCAAATAAGCAAATGCTTGACTGTCTTCTCTTATAATGGAATACAGTGATGTTTGGTACTTTTATTGCAAAACAAACATTTAAGTTGCAAACGACAGATACCTTCTCTGTGGAAGGCCAGTCGTGTTGAGAATTACTCGAGAAACAGAGTAATTCCTGATATACTTGGGATTCATCTACATCCATACTCTTAGGTTTCATGGTAAATGTCCCCACTCCTGTTGTGGGACTAAACCCATTGACATAAGTTATAAATAATATAGATACTTTTTGATATATCAATTTTTATGATAATTCTATAAACTTTCTATCTTTAAGCAAAATATATTGTTTGTGTATTTTAGTTGTAAATATATTTATAAATCAAGGAATTTCATTGACAAGTTAGAATGCATGCTTACCCTGCACCAGCACTTTGCAAATCCTTATAAATATCTTCTTGCGATCTACCATGACCTATAGAAAAGCCTCTGTAACAAATATTTATTGGCATAAAAAAATAATATAATTTATGCATAGAAGAGATTATGTAATAATAAATTACTTACGGTATACCCTTACGTCTCAAACGAGGACAATTCGATAAAGCTGATAAGGTACGTAATACACGAAGGAAATCGGATAGATCAAATAACATAGAAGGTTCAAAAAGTTCCGAATCGGATAAGCCAAACGTAGTTGAACATGCCGATAGAAATACTTTTATATTTCTTAAGCACAAAAATTGTGCCATTTGTGGTTTTTGATTTACATCTTTCATGTCTATACAACCGGGATCCACTGTATTTAAAAGATTACATAGCAACACCCCATCTCTTAGGGTATATGCTAAGTCAACAGCAGTAGCCTCTGGCCAATTTGCTTTATGATCTGCTCTCAAAGCTCCGCATCTTGTTAACCATTTAACACATTCATGCCAACCACTTCCATTATCTGGACCGCTTTCTATTCGGCTCATTTTCTTTTGGTTTTTAATACAAAATATTAAAAATTTATGATTCGGATTCTTTCAATCTATAGTGCATTAGGCCATAAAGACTTTATTAATGTATTTTCTTATGCTGGGAAACTGTAAAGATATAAAAATATGGTTAAAGATAACAGTTTATATGGATATAACTTAACAAATGAAAAGAAAAAAAATATCATATCTAAGAGTGCAATTTTAATAGATAAAACTCTCAGTATTATATTAGGATAAAAGACATTATGGATCATATGTTATTGAAGTAATTAGTACTTTTGAAAATATACCTCCATCCGACGAAGAATTTATAAACTGTTTCTTCGTTCTTCTGTCAGTGTTAAGAACATTCTGTAACTAGTTCTATAAAGGAATTCATTATTGTGTTCCTTGTCGGTTCTTAAAAGATATCTCAACGGAATCTGCAGTGCCGCTCAAAATGGTTTATTGGCAGTGTCATTGCTAAGAAAGCATTTGGCGGAATTGTAACTTTAATATACGGTTATTACTTCACACAATGTGCCTTGTTTTCTCATTATAGTATTATGACGTTCGGCTCGCTGCAACTTATGATCGCCATATTGCTACTTCACTGCAGTCGATCATATTATTTTCGTTGCAATGTTTGTTTTATGTATCCAACCATAGGTGGAGTTAAGTGTTTGTGTAAAGTGTAAGTAAACGTTATATTCCGAATTGTGAAAATCTCGTCATTTTGAATTGTTAAAGTTGGTGAATTTTTATAAAATGCAATTACTTATTTACTAAAATGTAATACCTTTTTACATTTGTTTGTAAAAATATCATAAATGTAATATATTCAAAATTAATTAAAACTGAATTATAAATTATCGTTCTGGCACACATAGTATATATAAGAAACTTGGATACATTATTTAACAAAGAAATTATAAAAATTGTAATATGTTACTTTACGATGGTAATGTGGGCTGTTTAAATAATCGAATTATTTTAAATAATCGATACATATTATCATATACTAATTTTATACATATGCGTAAGTACAACAATAACAAACATTTATTTTAGGAATCGTATTCATTGTTATAAATGTAACGAATATATCGTTTGAGAAAGAAAGTCCTGACCAATAATCCAATAGGATAAACAAATTTCAGTGACGTAAAATGATGTCTCATTCATCGTTCTTGACATATTCTTATACATATAGTTGCTTCCAATGCTTGTGCAGTGTGTCGAATCGTCGATGTAATGACAACACGTCTTCGCTTGAAAGCTGTTGAGTGATATTGTACTGTACTTAAACAAAACGGCAGATCACGGTAAATATATCTAATAAATCATTCATCATGTATAATATGTCTAACATAATGTGTATTATGTATACATGTGTATATATATACAAAATGTGAATCATTGTATATACTATTTATCACCATAATAATCATAAATATTATATGTTTTATTAAGGAAAAGAGAAAGAAAAGAACATAGGAAAAGAATGAAGATTTAAAATATTTTAATTTTGTCAATGTACTTGAACAATATTGTACGTTGTTATCATAGCATATATTTTACTATGACTTTGTTTCATGAGTAAAACCTTCAACACGTTTCATGCTGTGCTATTTTCGTACAACTTTCCATTTAGGTCGCGTGCATGAAATACCATTTACAATGAAACAAGTAAGTTTACTGAAACAGTTTACATAAAAAAATACATAGACTACTTCTCATGTAGAAAATTATTAAACTAATCTCTTTTTTTTATACTTTTTGGGGATTATTATATACTTATTGGGGATTATATATTTTCATATAAATAGATATAAATCCGAATGGTGTTTTATTCATACTACTGTGTGATAATTATCATATTTATGTAGTATTTGTCATTGATATTCGTAATGTTATAATACTTGTGCTACGTATTAACGTAGCTACTTATCCTGAAAATATTAACTGACCTGAATCAAAAGTGTATGAAATGCTACATTATCTTTCTTTTTCTCGAATTAAATTTTAAAGAGAATCGTTTAGACATTGTTTTATTTCTGTAATTATTTGTTTTATTCCAGCACAAGATCGAGAACATGAAATTTATATTTTACGCAACTACGTTAGTAATCGTGAGTAACGTTATATGTGGCGCCAGATACAATAAATTACAATGTAAAGATGAAAAAGATGTACCGGTGGATTGGTAAATATCTAATTGTATCCTTATCTTTCGCAAAGCGCTTTATTCTCGAATCACTTTCCGCGCAAAAAGTTTTACATAAATTACTGCATCCGAGTAGTGATAAGGATATCGTACGAAGATGATAGTCAGAAACCGATTTAGATGTAAACTGAAAATAATGCTATCATTTTAGGTACGTGCTTTATAAGTTACCAAAAGTTCAAACAAGTAGTAATCCCCTGATTAGAGAAGGAATTGCTTATTTGTACATAACGAATGCAACTATTGAAACTGGTTGGCAAGTGTCTTCTAGGCCCATCGGTTCGAACAATTCCATCCCTGGAATTACATTAGCGCCGCTTTACAATCAGGTAAGCATTTAGCAAACATTAATTAACGACCTTAATTACGTTCTCATCTCATGATAACAGCAATTATGACGAATTACTAAAAAAAAAAAAAAAAAAGAAAAAGTGAACACTATGATGTTTTTATTATTGTAGAGTAACGAGAATGAAAACATATGGAGTTTATATAACGATAGTCCACCAAATTCTTCTTATGTCTGGAGCTTTGGTCACACAAAGGGTGTAGTGATGGCAAATAGTGACCAAGGCTTCTGGTTAATTCACAGCGTTCCAAATTTCCCTCCAGTTCCTAAAAGTGGTGTGCAAACTCGACGGTTAAAAAGGGAAAATATTACTGCCGATGGCAAATACAGTTATCCGGTGAGTGGAACGTATTACGGACAAAGTTTTTTATGTATTTCCCTTGGCAGTGATCAGTTCGATATTATTGGAGAACAATTAATGTACAACGAAATAGCAGTGTATGCAAAAAATATTCCTGATATACTTGGTAAACAGTACCCGATATTGAAAAATGCGATCAATCAGAAACATATCAAAACTCCTCCCTACAACCATAAAGCTGTAATAAAATCTCTAAGAATGATTGAATTCATTTCGTTTGCTAAGGATGGAAAATGGGGTAAAGGTAAGTAAAAATTATGCTCGTTAAATTACATTTCACTATCTTAGAAGATATATTTATACTATATAACTTTAAATTCTGTTCAGATTTATACGGAGATTTTGTAGCGCCACAATTGCAATCAGATTTATATGTTCAGTCATGGTTGAATGGCCGAGGCAAGTTACCCTCAATTTGTACCCGTAGAAAGTAGGTAGTATCGTCTTTTAATCTTTGTTTCGTCATTCTCTATCATTCTTCTTTGTTACAAGAATTCGTCAATTATTCAGAATCTACAATGTTAAAAGCTTTGAATTCGACGTAGCGAATGTGAATTTTGCCAGTAGTCAGGACCATTCAAAATGGGCTATTACAAACACCAAAAAGTCCGCTAATCGCTGGGTTTGCATTGGTGATATCAATAGAGCCGTAAGTATATTTTTCTTAGAAACGTTTACAATTATATAACGTTGAAGATATTTCTTTGTTTAGAATACACAGTATTCTCGAGGCGGTGGAATCGTATGTTTCAAAGAGGCTCGTTTGTGGACTGATTATCGTAATATTATAAATGACGTAGAACCTTGTAATCATACGTAAAGGCTTTAGCAAGATACAATGCGTTCATTTGCCACTTTTTACGATGAAAATTACATACCTTTAAAACATTAACAGTGGTAACGTTAACGTTAACAATAAAATTTATACGATAACTTGAGAGTTTCAAGGATATTTTATACGAACGAGTCTATAAAAGAAGAAAAACGGGTATTACTTTAAAAGCATGAATCATTGGTATATATACACGTGTACATATAGATAGAAGATTCTGAAATAACGATGTTTTAATCGATTTTACATTATGTCCGTAACGGATATCTCGTCGATATACATCGTAAAGTTGTGCGACAACAGTGCGAGGATACAAAGTAATAACCGTCATATTAACTGCAGTTTACTTGCAAGTGTATAAAGAAGAGGTCTCGGTGGCTCTCTATTACTGTGGAATAAGGACGAACGACGGGGATCAGAAGCAGTTCTTAAATTGGATTTTATGAAAGGCGGCAGCGACTCTTCCTGCACCGCCTCTAGTTTCGTCTTTCTTTTTCTCAACCGTGCTTATTGTCTATCTAAGGAAATTGCAGAGGAGCTCGACGTGCCGTTAATGAAAGAAAAAAGAAAGTTGTCGAGGTTTAGTAAGCGGAAGGAGGGAGAAACGATTTGCTCTTTAATGAAAATTCCAAGAAATCGGCTGAACTTCGGTCCGTTCTTTATCGGCTGTTTCAAGTTTCTCGATCACTTTGATAGACTTTGTTTCAGAGATTTCTTTACTTTGAGAGAGAGAAAAAACGGTTGCCCAAATATTGCATCGATAAGAGTTATTATCATGGCAATAAATGCATGTTGCATCACGCGGCCTTGACCTATAATCCCATCTTTAATATTTCCTTATGGCGAATAAATACAATGCTCGTATTGTGAAAAGAACGATACGAATACGATGGACGCAGCCTCGTCAATCACTAGAGACACGTTAGGACAACAGAAAGAAAAAGAGAAAAGAGATAAACTGGTTTGGTTGAAAAGGTCGATGGGTAGAGAAGGTGGAGAGGGTTAAAATTCGTAGGTGTTCATCCAGGCGTGAATCAACCGTTGCATGCTGCCAGGAGACAAAACAACGGCGAAAACAAGAAGCGAGGGAGTTCGGTAAAGCATCTGGAAGCGGATGCTTGGAAAAACAAGCTGGCTGTCGCTGAAAGGGGATTAAGAGCAGGAACGCAGAGATTCCTTTAATACAGAGCTGGCAGCTGGCAGCTGGCAACACTCGGTCAATTTCTTGAAGTCTACATTGTCATACTTATTCGTTTCTGTGATTCGAAAAAACAGACTCCGTTACTTTTTACTTTCGATGTGTGTGCGTGCGTGTGCGTGTGCGTGCGTGGTGCGTGTGTGTGCGCATACACATATGTATACATATATTCATCGTCGTTCGATGTATCGAAATCGTCATTTATTATATTTCTTCCGGTTATCGATGTATGAAAAGGTTTGTTCGCGGCGCTAATGCATATAGCAGAGAAAATATGATTTATCGGAAGAAATTCTTTCGCAAAAGTGACATATTTTGAAAAAAAACGGGAGATCGTATACCAAGTTAGTGAAATATCATTGATATATGTGTTTCATGTCACGTACCGTTGAGTTGGCGTGCTCGATGGGGCGCAGATTTCGGTTGAAGTACATAGCAGTGTCGTAAAAGGCCATGAAATTTTGGCGGCTGGAAAGATGAGAAGACGATGCTGCGGTGTTCGCAGCGATATTTCAGCATTAAAGGCACCCTGTTCTGCATACTAAAATCTTGTGCACCGTCCAAATATACGCGCAACGTTATATGCACGAAACCATCGTGTGTCGTGCTCCGCGTGTGTACTTAAGCACGTTAACGGTGCGCATGCGCCAGCTTCCACCATCCTTTTTCCTCCGGTTACCAACATCCTGCGGCCTTTATCACCTACCCTAGCTTCGTGTCTATAGTTTATGTACAGGTATGTATCGTACCGGGTAGCTTTACGTGTGAACTTTAATATTGCCTTATATCTATTCATATCGTGTGTGAGAGAGAAATCATAGTGGCTCCTTTTAGTTGAAAATGAGACTCTGCCGGCTTTCACTGTCGCGACGATACATCAACTCAACAATTTTCCCGCAATCGTGACGAATCGTTACGCTTTGGTAAGTAAAAAACACTTGATAATCGCTATCGATCAATCCGTAACGTCGAAAACTGGGTTAAGTTTTGGTAGACGGTTCTTTCTAATTCGATCATTTGAATCGAACATATTTATATATAGGTTAAGATCGTGATCGATGTTACACGTGTTTCTAGATTCACAGATGGATATGCTTATGTAACAAAGGTATCTATAGTTTACTACTAATAAAATGATATAATAAAATTAAAACCTAGGCAGTTCTCTTTTAAACGTGTATGTTGTTCGACGAAGAGATACGTAAACGTAATACACGAATATAAATAAAAACGTACACGCAAATAGCTGCAGCATTGGAGGTTTATTGTGGCGCGAGTGTATCGCTACTGTACCGGGAACTGCATTAAGGCGGTAGGAACTATCAGGGAGGTTCTCTCTAGTTGCAACATCGCCGGCAAACTACCTCGAACAACTGTCTCGGCGTAACCGAACTCGAATACATCACCGTCGTAGTTTCAACCCGGAGCTTCCGGTACTTACTGAGAACTTATCAGGCGACGGAAGTGTCGTTGACTCATAACCGTCGACTTATTACTTCCTCGTTGTCGGATTTGCAAATCGAAGATAAGATATTTCAGTCTTCCTCGCCTAGATATTTTACTTTTTTTCGCGTTCTTTTAGAGATAGTTTGTTCTTATATCGAAAGATCATGGAACGCGAAACGAAAAGGTATTATAAAATGGACAGGATAGGAAAGTAGGGGTATGTGAGTGTGAGTGAGATAAGGATAACGGTACTGGTAACGGGAGTAGAATCAGAGGGTAGCAAGTAGAAAATCGCAAACGCAATGTTAAGACTTGTAGCGTAGCGAGGCGGTCCGCGCTCGTACAGACGCGGTAGAGAATAATTCAAGTAGGTAGAAACTGGAAGGATGAGGGCGAGGGTTGCGTGGCGGTGGAAATTGCGGATGGCAGGGGTAAAGCTGCAGCACTCCGCTTAGACAAAGCCTAACGAAGCTTCTATTCAGCAACAGTAGGCATCACGAGGCCCAACTTCACTTCTATTATACTTACTCGTCGGCACGAAGTGAATTCCATCCATCAACGGAATTCCAGGCTAAGCAGCTCTCGGCTGCCTGGCATCTCCATCTCTGGCACGAGAGGTATTCTCTCCTTTTTTGGGGTTGCATCCTCTTTGTCTTTACCTCGTCGCTTAAAGTACCCGGTGTATCCTTCTTTTCGTCGTCAACCTTCTCCTTTTCGTTTCTCTATATGTATACAGCGTTTTCTTCCATTCAGCAAACGGCTTTTCTATCAGTCCCTCTATCGATCTTTCGTTCGAGTGTTACACGCGATCGAATTCGCAGTCGGATCGATGACGGTAACTAGCAAGTATTTACGAAACGATAGAAGAAACGAAGAAATATAAAATCTAGTAACCGATAAGAAATGATTCTGGAATCTGTTCTTACCGTACTCTTCGGTTATTTCTACTTGCTTTTTTCTTTCCGCCGTCGTCCCTTTTTTCTCGTACGGTCGTAGACTTATCGACAGCCGAGGATATGTTGGCGCGAATCTGTGGCTAGGATAAGCGCGTCTCCAGCGTAATAAAACTCCCGGAGGGAAGCCGGGTCCGTTAGTCGGAACTTTTCTTTCAAGGAGAAAAGGCAGAAGGAGAGGTAGAAGAAGTGGAAGAAGAAGAGGAAGAAGAAGAAGAAGAATCAATCCCGTAACGTCGACTGGGTTTATGTATAGTCCAACTCCTCAGACCGTAACAAAACTTTAGTTTTCATTACAAAAATATCATTTCTTTTTTATCTGTATCAGATTTTTATCTTACGTTACGATCTTCGAGTTACAGATTAAGGATTTGTATATTCCATTTATCGCAAGTGTAACTTTCGCATAGTTCGCAAACGATCAACTGTCGGAAACGGAAAGTGAATTCGATCGCGAATGAACGTTCATTAGCAATCTGCTGTTCGATTTGAAAAAGATCCGCAGTTGGTGAAATCGTTAACGAGGCGATCCGAAGAAGAAACGAACGAAAAGGGAGAAACGCAGTAGTGAGAAATGCAAGAAATGCAAATGGAATGGTTGTTGCTGAGTATCTGGAAAGCTTCGATGGAGTAATTGAGCGCGTGATCAATAAGCTTAACTTTTCGATGGAACGAGTCTAGACAGAATGCAGGAACAAGTAGAAAATAAGAGATAAACGAGCGAGCAATGTTTCCCATTAGTAATTGTCGGGTATCATCAACAAGATCCTCGGTATGAATTTAGTATGATCAAAGCATTTATAGATTAATTTATTCTGATGTTGTAATAATAAGAAAGAAGGAAGAAAGACTGGGAAGAACAGGAGAAAAGAGGAAGGTGTCTGTCAAGATGCAAAATTTATTTGCACGAGGAGGAGAAGATATCTCTACTGACGCGTCAATTGACGTCGAAGTTATAATTGATTCACGACGGAGAACTACGTAAATACGAATCTAAAGAATCGTGTTCCACGGCGAAATTCTCACCTTGCTGCTATTTCAAATACAGTTAAAGCGCGAAGTAAAACTTACAGCTTTGGTCGACAAGAATCTCGAGAGAAATGGACCAATTACATGCTGCGAATAAATCTACGAGGCATTCCGAGTTAACGTATGACTAGTGCGGGTCGAGAAAGGAAATAGGGGGGGGGGGCGGAGGGGAAGAGTAAAAAGGAAGAGACGAAGCCCGGGGATAAAGGTAGCGAAAAGGATACAAGAGAAAAGCAGATGAAGTAGGTAGAGGTGTTAGATGGGATGGTCTTCATTGTGTTCTCTGGCAAATTTTGTTGGACAATGGAAAGGGTTGATTTGGTGCTCATGAATGTATATTACATTAGCGCCCATGCTACTTTGGGATTTGAGGTAACAAGTTTTCCTATCCTCTCTGACTTTTTCTTGCCTTTCGGTTCGCTTTATCCTCTCGCGTTATTTCTTCTCTCGTTATTTCATCTGCCCTCGTTGATCCGAGTAAACGATAACGCGAAAATTATCATCGACTGAAGCCGTCGCGCTTTGAAATTAATTTTGTACGACACGTTTCAAGGTAGAAATTGGTCTTTCGCGATAGAACGCTTTGATTATTAAACGTCGTTCGTATTACACGTGGAAAATGTATCGGTTCGTAGAGTAAACCTTTAACGAGCGATGTTTTCCATTAGCGTCTTGTATCGGACGTCTAAAATTTCGGAAAGATCCGGCCGTGTCGAGGGTTCTAGCCTTAATCAGTGTCTTCGATAAACCATCGAAGGAAAGAGATTCTCGTGTTGGCAAACCGTGAAGGTAGAAACAGACGTTGAACGTTAGACAGGCTGCTCGGAGATCCGACCGGTATTTACAGAAGCAATCTAGAACAGGCAAACCAGAACCGCTTCGCTTCTATTCTCTCCCTTTCTCTCAGACTTTCTCTTCTTCTCTCACGACGTAGATAGAGGAGTACTCGAAGAGCATTTGTGTGCCGTTCGCGAGGTAGGTGGTGAGGCATCGAGGGATGCATTAGCGGTCTGAAAATGCGCCAGTGAGTGGCACAGGTTTGTCTGGCAGATAGAGAAATGCGCGTGCTTAAGAAACAGGCTAAACAGAGAATATGTGTCGGTGAAGCTGTCAAAATGAAAACATTTCCTGTTACGGGACGAATATAAAGAGACGTACCGATAAAAATGCA